CCAAAATTTTTTGCGCGAAAGCCCCCAAGAGAGACTATCGTCTTTAAAAAACTGGCCTTGAGCTTTCCACACATACATTACCCTCCCTGGGGACGTCGTCACTAGTCCTCTGCAACAGAGTCGCTTATGGTTCTGAAATAGTCAAAGAGAATGACACGTTAATACTATCCGCACACCTAAAACAATCTTTCATTTAGCTATTTACCTTAACTCTATCAATTAGCTCATATGTTTAACTTTGTGTTAATTGTCATTGTCATAAAAGACACCAAAATAATCACAAATATTCTTGTTTCTCTATAGATAATCTTTTTCGCGTATCCTTCCCCCTCTTTTCCTCCTCTTTCTATCTATCTCCTTTTCATTTGTTTATTTTTGGTTCATAAATTCTACTGCCGCCCGCCTCGTGGCCCATCCTCCGTGGTGGCTTAAGCCGTTCTTCCGGGAATCATCATCCGCGCGTTCAAATACATCAAAACAACAAAAAGATTACCGTGTTAGTTTATCAGCTCATTATCTTGGTTTGTAATTAGTCGTTGTTTCTGTCAGGAAGCCTATATAGATGGTCCGACCGCTCGTTCAGTGAGCATTTTAATTTATTCAAAGTTTTTATTTTTTAAGCTATTTTCCCAACTTGGTTTTCCTTTCACAGTTCGTTGGTTTACGCATATCCTGGCCCCCAGTTTTTGGCCCATCCACATTTTCGAGCGAACGCCATTCATACGAGGTCACCATTATTAGGAGCGGCAAAAACTCTGCGATGGAGCAGTCGCGAGCACGTTACCAACACGAAGATAGTAGGGAGATTTGAGCAACAACTAACAACTCTGCGAGGGCAGCCAGCCGTTTGATATGGCTAGCAGGCTGCGTCCCCAGAGCTGCTGCGGACGCCCTACTAAATATGTCTAAATGGACCATGCCCCCGATGGGAACCATGAAGCAGCAGTGGTGCGCACACCGTTGACCATGCTGAAACGGGCGTTGACGACGCGGTTGCTGGAAAAACGGTTTGAAGCGAAACTCAGGGTAAACTTCAGTCGAGTAAAAATTTCTTTGAAACGCAAGGACACAGGAGGCGGGTTGGGTTTCGTGTAAGTTTCATCACAGATAAACGAGCCGAAAGAGAGTTTGCGAGCGTTGTGGGAGTTGGAGTTGGTGAAGCGAGAGATAAGTGTGTTGCGAGCGGGCGGAGGAGCAACACCACTTAGGTGTGTTAAGAGGAGCAGGCAGCTGTTCCGGGTGAGGGAAAGAGTGACGTCAACGCGCAGCTGCGACTTGGTTCCGACAAACGCGGCGGGGACCACACGGTGCGGCACCTTGACACGGAGATACGGACGGACAGCATTACAGGGGCTAGTCAAAGTGCTGCTTCGCATCTAATAACAAATGTTGGGGTTTTACGTCCCACAACTATGATATGGACTAGCGCTGACAAGTGCTAGTCCATATCGTGAGGGGCGCCTTAATGTATTTTCAGCTATCACGTTTTGTTATCCAGTTCACGCGTCAGCGCATTTATTTGCCACGGGCGGCAGACAAAGGTGTCTGACATGTTTCTTGTAAATGGGGAGATTTTACTACCGTCTCAGTCATATTGAATATACTAAAATATTGGCGGCACGAACTAGCGGGACGCAAAAAACGAGACAAGGAAAACATTAGCGCGCTTTTCAACCCAACTGGGGCTAGCAGACGCTGCTTGCTCCGGCGTTGCAAGAGAAGAGGGAGCATAGGAAGAGGAGAGAGGGGCGCACATGCGCAGTATGGGCATCACGCCGCACACCGGATTGAGCTCGACCATAAAATATTCCGCATCTAATAAGGCGCGCGTTGCGCAGGCTGCAGTATCAACGTGAATGTACGGTTTTGGCAAACGCGCCTGCAGTGGCGCTCATGGCGTATATATATTGTCACCTTGAAAGGAGATAATTTACCGCGTTGCGCGCATTGAGAAGCGGTCGCAAAGTTCCTTTATTTCAGTCATGCCGTACGAGCGCGCCCAGAAAAGAAGAAAGCGATGTCCAAAAGGCCGATACCCCAGAGTGGGTACGTGCAAGCGCTTACAAGCCACAAAGAAACAAACAAAGAAACAAACAAGAAAAAAAAGAAAAACAAAGACCATTGCTGTGAGCCGCAATGCGTGGTATTGCGTTGGAAAGATGGCAACATATCGTTCTCGCTTCCCGAATGATGCAGAAGACGCGCGACGGATAAAGGCGTTGATTAGAAACTTACGCATTGGAAAGAAGGTGACTGACCCTATATGGTGATGTGTTATGAACCATTCGCTCACGACAACTTCATTGTCCCCAATGAGTACTGGTTTGTTATGAACCATCCACTCGCGACGCTTTCGTTCTCCCCGGTGAGTACACCCTGATTTATCGTGTGTGCATTCTTGTCAATAATCGCGGGCTTCTGCAAGCACAGAGTATAGTTTTATTAATATAAGCAATCGCTTTAAGAAATCGTTGCGTTATGTGTGCAAGTATAAGTTCGCGTACGCTTGTTTTCTGCGCAAGTCGTAGTGCTACCCATTCTCAAATTAAGCTTCTGTAATCTTTCCCCATGACTTTTTTTTTATTTCGCATGTGTGTTTATTTACATATGCGCAAACGCATGCGCGAATATACATAAAGGATGGCTGTGCCCCTCCGGAAAACTTTCTCGCTACGCCCTCGCGAACTGTAGCAGTGAAACCTGAAATATAGTTTATTATGCGTTTGCTCGGCGATGTCTATAGACAGTGCTTTGTTCTCATTAAACGCATCGCTCTGACAGCTAATAGGCTCGTCAACTCGCAAGAAGTTCACTAGGAACTGCAAAAAGCGATTGTTGCCGCTTTTGGAGCGTTCGACACACAGGCGCATCAAGTTGGTTCCTTTTGCGACACGGCCCAGCGCAACTTACGTTTGGAACACGCTTGTTTCGGTCCGTCCATCACAATTGCACTCAATAACGTTAACGTCCAACTGCTAATTTTGGTAACTGAAAAATTACTTCAATTAGTTATAGGTGCGTATAATGTTGTGTTGTTCCGCTTAGTTTCGTTTTCAGCTCCGTTTCAATTGTCATGTGGCGCTTTGTGCGGCAGTGTTATGTACCATATGTATATATGTGTAAATAAATCAGTTGGTGACGAGCAGGTAGGTGTTCTGTGACGAGCACTTGTTGTAGACGGATGTTCTTTTCTCGGCGCTGCGCGGCCAAGTCGTGGGTGGAAGAGACTACGAAAGAAAACGTGCGTGCTTCACCTTGTCGCCATTGTTGGGTCAGGGTTGAGCTGGCCGCGACGCCGACGAAAAAGAAGGACGAAGCGCCGCAGCACGCCGACGCTTCCGGCGGCAGCCACCCCACGACTTGGGCGGAAGAACCTCCGTTTTGCACAACAGCCTGACACCAACTGATTTATTTACACATGTATACATGTGATACATGTCATCGCCACGCGAAGCGCCACATGACAATCGAAACAGAAACCGAAACTAAACATAACAGCACCAGTATTGGGAATAAGCACACGGCCTTATTTCTAAGAAACTCAATAACATGAATCCGTGAACGAAACGAAAGGAGCGCTCATATTACAATCAAAACTACGATTTGCCTTATTTCAAGATACACTGACCCAGACATAGCTCCGTTCTGAAATCAAGTGAACTGCATGCGTAATCAGCTTTTCACGGGACAACACAGAACACCTAGCGGGACAACGGGACAACGGAACTCGCATGCAATCGGCAGCACGAGTCGCAGCGCAAAGTTACCTTGAAAACTGGTACCTGTAGCAGTGCAGCAACGCAGCGCACAGGTGCTTGTGCCTTTTGGAAATCCCGCTGCCTTTTTCAATCTCTGACTCGCTTTACGGATTCTCCGACTGAAGTAAGTATGATGCGGTCCGCAGAAGAGGCTCGATGTCTGCACGCAGAGCGCAATTATTTCCGCTATTTTCGCCAGCGAAATCCTGCTACGTCGATGAGAATGAGGTGTCGGCGACCAGCGCACTTTCGTTTTTGACGAAGCAACGCGACTCGACGCCACAGTGAAGAAACTTCAGCCCTTCGCACAGCGTCAACTAAGGTTACGAAAGTGCCGCATCGAGCTTTTTGTTGTTTCGACCAGTGTTGCCATCACACGGAGCGTTTTATGAAGTTTTGAGGACGCTTACGGAACATAGCAACTTTTGGACATATCCCATCTCAAATACAGACGTCAGACTCACGCTGCTGTTACCTGAAAACAGGGATTTCCTTGAGCGCTTCTAGTTTTTCGTACCATAACCAAAACATCCGCTGCCGCGCTTCTTAAATTGCCGGCATGGTGTCACTACAGCCTGTAGTTTTGCGCAATAAATTGATTGGTGACACTTTTTTGTCGGGAGAGACCTGGCTAGAGCGCAGTGAGCTCCTCCCACGTTGAGGCGGGCAGTCTAAACCTGCCCGCCACATCGTAGGCTATTGAAATCAGCCTTTTCGTTGTGCCGTACCACTAGGACATTCTTGCTCCATCTTCAATGTAAAAATAAATCTTTCGGCACCTACACTTTGCATGAAAGCTTGAAATACTATATAACAAAGTAAACATTTTCGAATTTACGACGTCTGTTATATCGAGGTTTAACACTGTGTGCGACAAGCACATTTTGGAGTCAAGCTTGACACAGTTGTATGGATAATGTCACTTATAACACTCGCACCACACATAGTGTTACGATTAAAGACTACCCAAAACACGTTAAAAAATTTTTTTTGACAACTTACGGGTTGTTTCCATATATATTCTTTTTTGTGTGTGTGTGAGTGGCGAGGGAGATCTTGTGGTAGAATGCACTAAATTAATACTTATTCGTGTAGCACAAAGTGTTTTTCATGCTCTATTCTTGTTTAATTTGCACTGTAATGGCTAAACCAAGTAAGAACTGCTTGCACTAAAACAAACAAGGCACCACCACTTGGGTTTCTTTTCAATGCACTTTGAAGTCGCACACAAGGAGCAACGAGCACAATAAATCGAATACTTTATTATTTTACGCGCACAAAATATTTGCCAAGAACCTTAAGAAGTAAGAAGGGCCGCCCACATTCCCGGTAGTCCCACTGTTGGCCCTATTTCGCCAATGCCACTTCAGGAGTGTGTGACACAGCGAGGGTTAAAAACCGTCCTAACAACACACAGAAGAAAGAAGATTCATAAAAACAAGTAAAAAAATGGAGCAGTGTCACTGCACAGGAAAGGGGACGGATTCGACTTTTTCCACAGCCTTGAATGCCGGGTAGAGTCCAGAGCGACCCGTCCGCCTATTGACACCCTTACTATAGCCGTCCCAGTGGTTGCCCGCAATGCCCAACGTGTCGCCCACACGCACATCAATCTCCTCAGACGAGCGGGCAGTGTGGTTTAAGATGGCAATCTGGTTGTGGGGCTTCTGGCCCCCGAAGTAGTAGATGTCGTCCAGCGAGTGGAAGCGATCCGCGGCGTCCGCATGCGACAGCTGCAGGATCTCGTAGGCCAAACGGCAAACCTGCGCACGAATCAGTCTCGAAATGATATGCTCAACGAATGACTGTACACCAGTCTCGAACAACTCTAAGTAAAAGAGAACTTGAGGGATAGATTAGCATGGACACACACACAACATCCGCAAAATATGAAAGGCTACTGCAGCATAGAACATCCTTAAAATAGATTTCAAAGTGGGTGTTGCTTAACTGCACGTGAAAAACCCACCTCATGGCATTAACATAAACTTACTTGTAATGTGAACAACAAACAACCACCTCCTTCACATATTTGTGTTGGCTACCATGTTCCTTGAGAGTGCTTCCTCTATTAAATGACATTTTCAACAAAGAGCACTTCGTTTGTGGACTTGCATGGGTTCCGACGTTCTTGCCTTGACAGTGCTTTTCTTTTTTTGGGAGGAGTGTGGGGGGTAATGCATATTCATAACATTTCAAAGAGTACTATAACAGCACCCTGGGGCCCTTCGTTGAGAAGATTTGTCAACGCTGTGCTCATGTGAATGCAGTTCTGTGTGGTTGCATATCCAGGAATGCTTACACAAACACCATCCTGGGACCTGCCTCACTGATCACTCTTTGAAACCGAAAATAAACTGGGCGCATCAAAGCAGTCTCTAAATAATTAACCATTGGGAGCAAATGGGGTTTCCGGTTTCGATAGTGGATCACTTACTGCAACAGAAAAAACCATTATTACAAAAGCTGACAACAATGGGACAAGCCTGCATGCACTCAGCTCTAAATGCATCCAGATTTAAAACTAGGACATAGCAGTAGCTTCACTCAAACCAGACACTCAGGGCAGGATGGAGGTTTGAAATGAGCAGACGCCAGAGCCGATGCTTCAACAAGAGGACATGTCAAAACACTGGCTTCGGCGATGTTCTCTATTCAGCAAAATCTCATGGCTTTATTTCAAAGTTTGCAGCAACTAGTAGGTGCCCCCACGGAAATGTTTCAATAATATTGTCCAAGTACTGAGCCCGGGATATGGTAGTTTTCAATTTTGACAAGGTGCAACCAGATCAGCGATACGATGACCGTCACATTAGCTTTCCGAACACGAGAGCACAGAATTGCGTATGCATCTCTGAGCAAGCAGCTGGGCCGACTGTGCTTGAACAAAATTGTGCCCCCTGCGTGTGCATGTCGTGCAGAAAATCTTGGTACTTCTTGCCAAAACAAGGGGCCACCATGTCCTGAAGTTGATGCTCGTACGATTTTAAAAAGCTGCAAGGGCATACATCATGCTTGATGACTAGCTATGGGTAGACTTCTTTGTGGTTAAAGAGAACACATGTCTCAATCAGCTCTTTTCTTCCTTATCTGCGTTTGAATGCAGGTAGCTACATTAAACCGTAATACAGGCAGTACACAGGCTTGCGGCAAGCAAACTTATGAACAGTACTGCAAGAATTAGTCGCAACTCCTGCAGCACAGAAAGTGGCCCTGTACCTGAGATGAGAAGGTGCAGACCAGGTAGTCGCAGCGAGATAGCATGTGGATGTCTAGCAGGACACCCCGTAGGGACTCGGAGCTGTAACGTTGGCCCAAGGCAGCCGTGTTGGCGATGCGGCTATCCCCATAGAACTGGTAGTCGGGGTACCTGAAATGCCACAAGCATTGTCAGCACACTGCAGCCACTGCCGTATACAGTACACTCAAACGTTTATATAAAAAACACGGATATAACAAAATATCTGTTATAATAAAGTAACGTTTATAACTAATTTCCGGATATAGCAAAGTTCTTTTCGTGTGAGATGCAATCTTGTTATAATGGCGTTTGAGTGTATTACTAGCAAGTTCATGATGGTGCCTGTGCACCTCAGCTTGGCCATCAGCCCTTTGAGGCGCTTTGTATAAAAAAACAGCATTGGAGGTTTTTAGTCTTTTGTATGCTAACATGAAATGCTATTATACTGATGTGTAAGGACATTAGGTACTTTAGTTATGTTTCATATGCCAATCTAAAATACTACTGTTGCATTCATGTTAGATGTAACAGCAAAGTTATTTAGCAAATCAATCCTAGTTCACCCCGTGCCAAAAACTATCATAATCATAAACTGATGCGCACCACATAAATTGGGTAAATCTCACCATTGGTACAGTAAAAAAGAAGAATGTAACAGTTAGCCCAAGTATGTTGGGTACAAGATTTGTATAGTCAAAGCCAGATTCAATGTAACATGAAATTTTTATGTGATCTGTCTTATCTGTTGCTTCCTTTGTTCATGATGGTCTGGATGCTGAGAGAGCTGTCTTGTTTATTTTTTGTTGCTTAAACCAAGGTTGATTACTGTACAAATATTGGTGCTGTACGAACATGTGCACGAGGGTGTTGGATCTTTGTCAAGCTGTATGCCTTTAGCTCCAACAGCCTTTTGTTTCTTGAACAAGAAAACAAAACAATAATTATGTCGAAACAAATCACCATGAAGTGACATGCAACCAGCTACAGACCCAGAGAACGCACAACAATTAAGAAAAGGTGTGGGAAGGCATTGGCAGCTGTGACAAGACCCAAAGAAATGGAAAGCCTACAAGAACGTCGAATGCGAATGTCTGAGAATGACGACGTGCTCACGTCTTGGCTGCGAATGTCTACGACTGTCTGTGGTCTATCATCAACCACTCTGCGCTTAGGATAACCTTACAGACAACCTAGCCGCCGCCTCTCTAAAGCCTAGCAATGACCTGCAAGCAACCTAGAAACAACCTGCATCACTTAACTAAAGCTTAGAAACAAATTAGAAGCAGCCAAACTAGCCTTCAGAATCATCCAGTCAGGCTGTTTCAAGGCTCGAGCAGCTTAGTACAAGCTTCCCAAATTTTTCATTATCCTCCGTGTGCAAGTTTAACATGTTAAGTTGTTGTATAACCCTTGTCTCCTGCCTAAATAATTATGCTGTAGTACGCACAGATGCATACCTTGCATTCTGCAAAGGATCCAGTTGAAATGGAGAAAACAAGATACGTACATTTGAGATTTGCATTCTTGAAAGGCTAGAGAGAGTACAATGTCGTCTTGAAATCGATACATCTTTACGACACACCAAACAGTAACCCTTCTCAGAGGTTTCCCTTTCCAGTAAATAAATAACAAAATGTTTTCACTTCCATTTTTTTTTTCTTAAACCACAGACCTGGTTCATCTCTGCCTGCAGCCTAATTGCAAGTTCATAGCTTTTGATAAATTGTACATTGCTACACACCCACATTTTCTTAAGCTAAAAAAAAAAATTGCAGTCAGTTCCACGCCATCAAAACCATTAGACAGAAGCTATAATCAGGCGAGCATGTGATAGAGCATGAACGTCACCGCCATTAACATTTTATTTTACTTATTTCCTCTCTCTCTTCACATCACCGATATGACGCTTACTGCTACTGCTACTACTAGTACTACAGCTACTACAGCTGAATCTCTTCATAGACATGCACTGAGCAGCAATACTCGTCTTTTGTATGAAGTGTCTCTTATAAGCAGGGTACCACATGTGTATTTTCTTATCAACCCTTATTTCAATGTAGGCACACTGCAATCTCTTGCACCCATTTGTCTCTTACATCAGTGTCTCTCATAAAGGGGTTTGACGATACTAGATCAATGACAGCATTGGGTAGCCTAAGGCAGTTTTGCTTTGAAACATTGTCATACATTGATATTACATGTACTAGGCTTAGTATGTCCCATCCAGTATTCACAATATTCGAGCCCATTATACTGACTCGTAACAGTAGCGATTTCAACGTGTACAACAGCAATGCCATCAATGCCTGCCTCGGCACTCACTTGCTGCGTGCCTCCCCAAGCAGCTTGGGGTCATCCGTGGCTAGATAGACCCGGCGGCGGGGCACGGCTCCTCCCTTGAGAAGCGAGCCGCTCGAAGTAGTCGGCCACATGCTCCATATACTCCTCAATGCCATGGAAGTCGGCCTCAGTGCCGACCTTGTCGGTTCGGCGCACATGCACACCCACGACTGGTCCCTTGAAGGCCATGTCGCGTGCCGCTTTGTCAAAGAAGCGCTGCAGGCTGGGCTGCGGCCGTAGAAGATATCCCAGCACTTGCGACACCCACCACAACGCGGGCTGGCCGTGCAGCCGTGTTATCCTTGCCGCGAGGTCGTCGGGCACGGCCAGCGGCAGAAAGGCCGGCCTTGGCTGGACGTTGTCGATAATGGGAAGTTCCACAACGGGCGCATTGGCCACGTCGGCTGACCACGGCACGCCCGAAGGTGCCTCTGTGCAGCTGTTGCTGACTGGCAGGAAGACACTCTCCCACCCAGCAGATGAGTAGCGCCATCCCTTCGAGTGGAGTACCAGGGTGCGGCGCGTGGCATACGCTGTGATGAGGCAGTAAGTGGCGTGGTGCACCTGGCAGCCGTACCCACAGCCCTTGTTCAGGCTGCAGACCAGCTTGGGTGCCTTGCCGCAATCGGCTGGGTGCTGCAGCTGCGACAGGCGGGAGCGCACCAGATCGGACAGGGCGCGCGACTCGGCCTGGCGCCATGCATCGTGGCCGTCGGCCCGTCGCATCTCCTCCAGGTCCAGCTGGATGGCGCTGCAGCACAGTCGTTTGTTAAGACATGTTATGCGATGGGTGCATAGAAAAGAAGGAAACGACTGAACACTTTTCAGTAAAGGGCTTAACTCTACACCCCAAGTAAAAGAGGCTGAATTTTTCAATAGCATTGGTGTTTAGAGACAGTGAAAAAAAAAATTTACTCTTAAGCATGTAGCAATAACCGAGAGGCGGTTATCTTACTGCTGGCTAAGGTCAAGGTGGGAGTGAAAGTTAGCCTTTCACCACATTGAGTTAGTAATCAGTTACGGCTAGATGCTGTAAGCTGCCACCCAATAGAAAGTGTACAGCTCCATCCATCCATCTACTGTTCAATGCGAAACCAGGAATCGACACTGTTTGCTTGCAGCTATACAGTCACAAAACTGTGCACTGTTGGCAAGGTGCCTTTAATTCCATTTAACTCCACTAGGTGACAAACGCACACTGAGCACATCTCGAACTGTGATAGGTAAGGAATGCAGGCAGGACAAAACTCATTGAATATACAAGGGCTGCGTAATCTGTGCACTCTTACAAGGCACCCTTCGGGGCACTTTTGGTCGCACAACAATAGTTGTCGACTGACTCGCTTGTGTTTCTTTCCTTGAAAACTGTGCTCAATACTTTCTTGTCATGAATGCTATGTCGCACCGGTGGTAGGCACACCATCCGTGACCTAGATGTAGCGAGCGAACAGTGTTCTAGAAAGAAAGGCACACAAGATGAATAATGATTACTATTCTTGTGTGGCAGTGATGTACTAAATGAAGACGGTTAGTTGGTTGAGTAGGTTAAGTTCATTTTACGAAAGCAGTGAGTTAGTGGACAAGGCACAAGAATAGCACATATCTCATGGACTCCCATTCTTGTCCCTTGTCCACTGATGCACTGTTTCCATTAAAGGGACGTTGGAATGCCCACTGCGTGCAACTGTTTTTAGAGCACACACAGCCTAGGCAACCACAGTCGCGCCAGCACACACCGTAGCTACAGGTCCCAGAAGCAAAAGCACAAATTTGGCTTAAACACTTATAGTAAATGATTAAACTTCAAAAGCCCAGCCCACTGTTCCCTTAAATAGTGAGCCAGCATTGTGAAACTCACCGCCGATGCTCTGCCAAATCATCGATGATGCGCTGCATTGTGGCCTTGTCTTCCTGTTTCAGGTTGGGCAGTAACTTCTTGAGTTGTCCACGTGCATAGAACCAAAGCTCCTGGACGCCATCGGCCACCCTGCGCCGTCGTACCTCATACTCCTGGCTGGGTTCGCCACACCCTGCGCGATAATTCGGGTGATTTGCCATAACGAACAATTTACGTTACCCTACCATCACAAAGAAACTGCGACTATAACAGGACCATTGCTGTGTGGCTACGCAAGATTAACAGTGAGAATTGTAGCGCTAGACTCCAGGAAGCGTACAGACAAAATCACACTTGTTTAGTACCCAGCCGGCCACTTCCGCTGTTGTTTTCTGTAGCAGTATACAAAAACCCATGTCGTAATGATACCAAACATAGTACTACTGCATGATAGGTCCTTCTGCTATAGTTCAAGCAAGAACGGAAGCTTGTAGCTAACATGAAGTAGCATTTGCGGCCAAAAACAGCGTCCACGGTCATGTGCTCTGCTGCATTAGACAAGTATGATTCCGTATGTTCACAGTCAAACCTGTATCGAATCTGACAAAACAGTTCTATATAAAATTCGATATATAGATATATTCTATATGTCAAAAGCATATTCAAGGGGATACTACAACTGTTCGACATGTGCGGGTTAAACTGTACAGCACAGTGAGAAAGGAGGAGGTTGATGGTATTCAGCTGCTATGTCAAATGCACTTGAACCAAGCTGTGGCATTGTGCCCAAAAACGATGTGATGAAGCAATTAAAGAGCACCTTATTGTCTAATATCTCGGCGTCCACATAAGCACGAAGGAATAAAAGCTGCCCTATGAGAAGTACTAGAGTGTTCTTCATGGTGATTGGCTCAGCTTTCTCTTATTCCTGGCACAAAATCTACACCATCTAAAGCAAGCAATAGCATCCAGTCATGATGGCAATGTAGCTCATGAGTGTGAAAAAGGATTATCAAGTAAACGTTCCTTGTTAAGTATGCCAAGTGACCGGTGAATCAATACGGATTCATTTAATTTTTACCTTCAGCAGGACCCGCCCACAAAGTGATCACAGCCACGTTGCATTGACAGGTGAACTTGGCGCACTGAATGTCATATCAAGTAATGTGCACTTAAGAGTTCAACGTTATGGCCATCCACGTAATAGTGCTGCCGTGGCAGCATGCACCTGTAGGTCAGCGTGCTAAATCTCGGTGAAGAAACACAGAAGAACATTAAAACACACAAAAGCATGTGATGAGGACAGGTCACCAGCTTTTAAGGTGTCTGTTACTGTATATCAAGATGTAGGCCCAGCATCGGGGTTGCCTAACGGCAGCGCAGGGTTGCAACGCTGTCCTACAAGTCTGCTGTACGGGCACAACCGGTGCAACATACAGCACCACACCTCGCTATTTCCGACACCAGGCGTACACTGGTACCACATTATCTAACGCTATACGACATGACGTATGCCACAACACAAGTATCACTTTCAAGCATAACATGGCATGGGAGTGGACGGACGGAGCAGAAATAATATGCTCCTTCAGTGATTGCTCCTGATTGTTTCTCTCTCACGTGCTGTACATTAAATGTACATTTTTTCCCAGCTGATGTAGTTGAGGGTGTAATCAAAGGATAAACTTCTGGACACACCATAACGTGTAGGAGTTACAGGCCACTTGACAAAATTCACAAATTTGAAACAGCTGAGGGGGAAAAGTTGGTACTGAGTGCAATAGGACATGACTACTAATGTAAAGGGGGCACAGACAAGAAGGAACATGAGGCCACACTAGACTTCAACTAAATTTATGAAAACCAACATGCTAGCATGGCTAATAAAGTTTAGTTTAAGTATAGCGTGCTTTTGTGTTCCTTCACTTAATCTTAGTCCCCTTTATTCTAGCAGTCATGTCCTATGAAGTGCCGACTTTGGTTAGTGACCTCTCACTCTTCCAGGTTTCTCTGCTACAAACAGACATACCAGTTTGCTGGATGACTGGCTGCTTTAACTCTTTTGCTTCCTCTTTCCTGCTGGGCTCTCTGCAAGAAAACAGCAGGTGTTAAAATCACAGTCTTATTTTTATTTATTTATCTTTATCCATTCAAGACAAAGTTGTTACATTTGCCTTTGGGCACACGACTAAAGGGTGAGTGAATGCCTGACCTAGTCAGGCATTTACAGACTGACTGAATAGGTCAGGTTATGGCGGATAAATATGGCAAAACTAAGAGACGTGGCATGATGGGGGACCTACAGACTAAATCTAGCCACCTAGGGCTCCCTAATGTGTACCTAAATACAATAAAATGGGTGCTCTCATGTTGCGCCTCCTTTGGAGTGTGGCCACTGTGACCAGGAATCTAACCCACGGACTTCAATGCCATAGCTGCTGAGATAACACGGTGGGTGCGGTAATCTCGGCAGGAGTTTTATGGTATCAATGAGCCATATCAACGAAGAATATATTTCTGTAATAGTGTGGGGCAAGTATCAAATCACACACCACCACATCAGATATCTACAAAGTTTGCTTGCACAATTCTGATCGCGATGACGACAGCATCTTTAACTTATCTCAAGAAAACCAGTCGAAAATAGGCATTGCGAAACGAGGCTCCGAACAGGTGATAATTATCTGAATGCCTTCAAATAAGAAGAAACCAACGCCAAGCTAGCTGGTTGGGGTTCGTCGTCGACGAAAGTGATGTACGCAACAAAGACATAAAAAGTGAAAACATGCCGCTTTCAAAGTTCAAAAGAAGCGTTCACTCTCTTCTCCTGCCGCAACTAATAAAGCGCACAAACAATAGCAGGCCCCGGCTGAAAGCGAATGATTAATGATCCACTCGTGAAAACTCCGCGCTCAAACCGTCTGACGCATGCATATAAACAATGGCAATCACACACACACAGCTTGCGCAGCAGTTCATGCGGTTTTAATTAGTTGCAAGGCAATGTTTACGAGTGATGGTACTTGCAAACAAGTACGATATCGCATCGAGGAACTAGTTTTTTTTTTTTTTTCGCGTGTCAGTTCGTCACCTCGCGACGGGGGTCAAGGATGAAAATTATCAACGTAACTGATGTAACGACATCACACTTTGCGATAACGCCGGTAAACGAGCCCGTCACGAAGTTGGTACGGCAGCTAGCGAGCGAGGTTTGATACAGTTGCGCGCGTGCACAAGCCGTGGTTCCGATGCACGAACAAAAACAGGTTTCTGTGCGCGCAAACAGACTCGCTTTCAATAGACTTCCTGCCCGCCCCAGTTGACTGCGAAATGCCACAGACTCACTTGATGGCGTTGAGCAGGGAGCGGAGCTCTTCGTTCTGCTGTTTGAGCGTTTCCAGCTCGCTGACGGCACGGGTTAGCCGTGCCAGCACTTGCTCGTCCGGTTCACCGCTGTGGAACAAGGGGCCGCTGATCATGAGAACGACCAGCAGCCACATGACCAGCACGCAGCCGATCAGCTTGCCCACACTCATGGCCCTGCGCGACGAAGACGACACGCTGGCAATTTAGAGAGATTACTCTTAACGAGTCGGACGAACGAACGCTTTCGCACTCACATGATGGTTGCTTCTCGCGTGCGACGACTTCTTCGGTGCCTGCGTTAAAACGTTCCCAGCCGGCCGCGTACGCATCTCAACACGTCGTCCTCCGAAGATGATGAGTCCGGCAGGGCCGCGCTGCGTGCGCAGACGGCATGCTTCCCGGCTAACGCGCGTAATCAACGGCAGCAAAAGGTTAACTGCCGCCGTGGCTCAAGCAGCGAGCTCACAGCACAGCTGTTCCGTGGGGTTTCGTTGGTTTCGTCGCGATCACCCAGAGTCGGTCAAGAAGTACGAATCCAGGGCAATCCAGTGCCCGTTTTGACCACCACTACGTGGCGCCATCTGTTTAATCATTTTTGAGAGAACGTAGAAGTGTGGCAGCTTGGGCTAGTTGGTATGGCATGACGATAGTTATAGCGCGAGAACAAAACGACGACACAGAGACAAGAAGGACAATAGTTATAGCGCGAGAACAAAACGACGACACAGACACAATGTCCTTCTTGTCTCTGTGTCGTCGTTTTGTTCTCGCGCTACAACTATCGTCTTGAGAGAACGCCTTTGAGACTGGTTCGGTGCGCCTACCACCGCAGTCTCGGAGGCAACGCAAACGTTCGATGCGGGCGTCATTTGGTGACGTCATAAACGAAAACGACCACTTGTGGTGGTTTATGGGTCAAGCCATTGCGCGCTTTGTCGGGTTCTTTGTTCTACTTTTCTGGCATATAATAAAGTGACGGCGCCTTTCTGGTCGCACGCTCAGTCCACCGTGGAGCGACTAGTCTTGCTGCCTCGCCAACTTTTCTCGAAGCGTCAAATTTGTGTCGTCGTTCTCATTCTTCCCAACAAGACTTAGGAAGTAGAACCCAAGCTGGTGCATAGTTGTCCGATTTGGCGCGTATTTCTTTCACACGTGTCACCAATGTGACCACGTGTTTGTATCCTCATTGATATTGCATTTGGGAAGCAAACAGCACGTAACACACAAACGAAATGTGAGAAGCGTCGTCAGAAGCGTCACCTGTGGCGTCACTGTCATCGTCATCAAAATAAGTTGCCCCTAAGCGTGTCTGCTCGCGAGTGTTGACCTGAAACATATATGCATATTTGATTCATTGGGGGGTGTATTTACTTGTGCATGTATAGCTGGTCTGCAGGTAATGAGGATATTGGCGAGCCCCTCATCTCAACAAGAAAATACCAAAAATACCACCATATCTTGATTTTGGTTAACATCGAAGAACCCCTAACTGTAGGGCGAAGTTAAGCTGAAGTTTCTCCCGACAATGCACCACATAGTCACATCGCAGTATTGGTATGCAGAAGTTAATTTCGCTTTTGAAATGTAAGTAAGCCATCTAAAACATCAACTATCAAGACTACGAAGTCAGTCTAGAGCACACGCGCAACAACCTTGGAGCTGAAAGTGGCGCCACCTTCCAAAGTTGTACCCGACTGTATGTTGTTGTAAAAAACACTATGACAGACTTCTACGACTGTGGCAGTCGCCCTTCCAGGTAGCTGCAAAAGAGGCTCAAACAGAGCGCAACACGCTTAGCACATCGACAAAACAACTTCGCTCGAAGGTTCTTGTTTATTATTTACAGAATCGAAACATGGGGAAATCTTGCCACCACACAGACGTGGCAAGGACGGCACAACGATAATACAGGCATGCTTTGCCTTGCAAAGCGTGTCGAGCGCTTGAACCTGCAAGAATGAATGACTGTGCAAAATTGCCCCATCCCATTTTTTCGTACCTTATAGAAAGTGCACATCTACAGCTGTATTTATTCTCGGAAAAACGAAAAGCAATAGAAAGTAGTGCATCAGTTCCATTGCTTTGAAAACGTCTCCCCCATATTGCTCGCTGGCAATAAGCAGCATTCATTTCGTGGAGACTAGAGTGCCGCCATGCCATCACAAAAGGAAACGTAGCAGACTGGGCTAGAAAGACGTGCATAGTAAAGACACCGAGAGAGAACCACACACTTTATGTAACAATCAACAGGCCAGTCGGCTATGTGAAATAAATAGGGAAGTTGCCAGGCGGAGAGGGAGCTATTACGACAACCAAAAGTGATCTGTGCGGGGAAAGCGACGCTTTTCTCGCCACCGGAAATGGATTGCAGAGGAAGCCTCAATCGAATGATTGGCAATACCTCAATCGAATGATTGGCAATACACATTGTTCGTCCCACAGTCCGGGCGCACTGGGAGTGCTTCCCGGTGTTTTGGCCTGTTCGCTGCACGCACACAAACACAGCTCTGTCCTCATTCCATCTTGTTCCGTTCGAACCGCACGGTCATGATTTCCTGAGGAAGAGAAAGAACTGCTTGGAGACTTCACTCTCTAGAGAGACTCTTAATGGGGGGCCACTACACCTGAACACCTCTTTAAAAAAATTCTTTATGGATTTAATTGAAGCTCATTTGAGCTCATGTATATTTGGATGGATGGATGAAAAACTTTTATTGGGGTCCTGAAGGATTCCACCCCCGTTTTATAGGGGTAGGATCGCAGGCCGTGAGTAATTTTAATATGCAATATTTTTTCTAGTACACTACAATACTACGTAGTTTTTTTCAAATTTCAGGTGCAGTTTTGGGAGCCAGGGTTTTCCTAAACTGAGAGTTACAAAGTAACTCAACAAAACAGATTGACCTGGAATGAGTACAAAATACAAGGAAAGAAAAGATGGATGTTATAAGCCCATTTGAACAAAATTTGTGGCATGTTAAGATATTTGTGACCGAAATCACAGCTTGATGTAGACTCATTTGCAAACGTTCGATATACAATAACTTTTGTTGAAATGCCTTTAGAACATCCATTCTTGTTTTCTTGTACTCTGTACCCATTCGAGGTCATCCTAGTGTGCTTAATTACTTCGTAACTTTTTATGTTCAGGCATACTTTTGCTTACAGAAAGCATAAAATGTTTGTTATTTTAAAAACTACACATATATCACAAAAATAATTGCATATTTAAAGTTTGCACACAATATATATTAAACTCAGCAAGTTTCCTCTCGATCAATAAAGAATTTTTACAAAACTCAGGACCCATGCTTTCCCTTAATCGTATGAAAAATGGCTTCATCGCTTACATAAGCGCACGTAAAAAGACAGAGAAACAGTATATTTGGAGCATATTTTTGTCACACAACACGAATCATTTAATTTATGTGTGTCTTTATTTCCTTTAATGCCACAACCCAAAACTTCCGGGTCCCAAATGGTGCTCGCGTTATCCCCAACACAGCATTCTCGATAAGAGAGCACCAAGCACAAAGTTTTCCCAAAAGTCAACACAAGCAAGCCAGACGAAGATTGTCACTGTGCAACATGGCATCACGGGTGTTGAGCACTCAGACCATTTAGGCGTAATACCTCCCAGAACGAACCTTTATGTCCCAATGTAATATCTTGATGTCGACATGAAAGCACCTCAGCAGCATCTAGGGGCAACAATCCGTCCATTGCTTTTTATGTCATAGACTTATCCATTTCAAATGCCCAAGCATAGCAACAGGTCGTTTAAGCGAAATGTACAGGTAATTATATAAACACTACAGTGGACAGCTCACGATATTATCGCTCTCCTCCATCGATATACTGTCCCTATGACATCACCCCAGAATATTATCCCGAGTCACTGTTTAGTGTTTTTCCTTATTTCTACCAGAACAAAGCACATTGTATGAGCTTCTGAATTTAAAGAAAATTTCAGGACTTTGACATGAATAACTACTTATTGGAACTTTAGAATACTTTGCGAATATTTTTTGCTATTCGAATGGCACCAGAATTCATCTATTCGAAGTATTCGAACTTCCTGAAGACAAGTACAGTCAATGTCAGATTGCCAGTGGCCCCTTCACATTTTTTTTATGTGCTTCACCCCATCACACGCTCGCATTGCAGCAAAACTGCATTTCAAACTCTTCTACAGTCTTAAGTGTATCGACCGACGCTGGTTCCAACATGGAGATGATAAGACGCGGCAGAGCTGAGGGTTAAATTAAAGGCCATCTTGGCCCTAAAATTTGGGTGGACACTGCGTCAGGCGACGAAAATATCTAGCACCCAAACTTTCAGATATTCTTATACACTTATGCCTATGAAGCGAATCGGGAATTCTGGAATCTAAGAGAGCGCGCCCACGCCCGCCACATTAGTTTTGAGAGGGGTAGAGACCGAGAAAATAGCATCTTTGCCTTTCAAATGTGATATGTTGCTGACACCACTTTGGTTGCAACCAATCCTGTAAATAAATGCAATTTGGCCTCTGCTTTGCCTCACTCTTAAACCCTCTTAATTCCAAGAAAGAAAATGAAATTTGTTATTCGTTCAGAGTTTTGGTATTCGGTGATTCGGTAGTCGTAGAGTTTTGGTTTTAAACACCACTCCTCCAGCGCCTCACCAACCTCGCCAAAAAGAAAGGCCCGTATTCACAAACCAACCTCAACTTTACTTCAAGTTTTTCTCATCGGTTTTAAGCCATTATTGCGTTTGCTGAGCAAAGTAGGCTAGTATACATGAACAAATCTCGTTATATTTTACCCTGTTACCATTTCTGTGTGCTTATAACGCACGTAGAGAGTACAGCAAACTTGAAGAAAACGTGAGGGAAGGCCAAGGCTGGTTTGTGAATACGGGACAAAGTGCTTTCATGTTGCTATATCATAAGAATATGCTTGGGAACCTTTCCCAACTTTTCGCAAATTGCACTTTGTATTATACGAAAAATATGAGAAACATTCGCTTTGCACCCAAACTTTGGCATTCGCACAGCTACACTTAAAACTAACGACTGTTTAAGTAACAAAAGTCAGTCACAACGGCGAAGAATTCTTGCCCTGACCGAGACAAGCAGGACTCACCTCGTCCGAGTCCAGAAGACTGGGTAGGGCCCTGAAAGAAGAGATAAAAAGAAGAATTCAGCCAGTTCCAAGTCATGAAACTGATCGGACAACAAAGCTGTAAATGCACGAGGGTGTGTGACTGGTAAGTGAGGTTACGTGATGTAAATCTACTGCTACACTTGAAATACACGCACTCCCACTTGCCTGGGCAAAGCAGGATCAGTGTGAGCAGTGGGTTCGGGCAAGGGCGTTTTAGCACTCGCTGCCGGTAAAGTCGAAATCCAGCCACGCGCCGTACACCTTCTGTTATCTGCCTAGCCTTCCGACGTGCCCAAAATGCCTTGCCTTGGTTTAATACAATTATTGCCTCTGGTTAATGTGATTTGCAAATATGCTAATCGTTTCCCATTGTTTTTCTTACCAAAAGTAATCATTTTCGTAATCATTTCATTTCAGTCATTTTGCTCCCACCCCCCTACCTACCACTGGTCACGTGATCTGTGTGACCGCACTGCGACTGATACTATGACGACGACAGTACAGCCACCTTTGCTGCAAAAATAACCAACTTACGTTTCTCCCAAGGATGAGGGTATGGTCTCCTCGACCCACTTGAGGTCATCCTCCTGCGATAGAACATGGGCTCAGAATCTTATGTTGCTTCTTCGCGATGTCTGGAATACATTAAGAATCTCCGGATTATTCATAATGAATGCGAATTCGTACCATGAGTGGGTACTACTGTCTATAGAGACTTATATTTTAACATACAGTTGAATAATAGCAGAGAGAACACAGAAGAGACCAGAGCACTGACCAGCATTCCATTCTCTTTTCTGTTCCTTATTTTTCTATTGTGCGGTCCACAAAACTCAGAACTTGTTCTATCAACAATCGCATGATCGCATAGAGCTCAACGTGTTCATGTAGCCAATATCTTTGGTACTTCCGAAGCACAAAACTAGAGAAAGCAATTTAAGTCTGGCAGCCCATGATTTTTCGAATATAGAATCTCCCACCGGATCCTCCTTGTTGGCGGCTGGCTGGCCCTTCGCTGGCTTGTTGGTGCCTCGCATCTTCATGCCCTCTGCAAATCCACGTGTGAACATCAATTAAATGAATTGAAATGAATGAATGCCTGAATGATTTAAAAGCTATGCCAGTGATGACGTAGCCATATAAGGAACACACATCACATTCACTCACCGAAAGAATCATGAGGCTGCTGCTGGTATTCCTCCTCCTCTAGCTCGTCATCAGCAGCATCTAGCAGAGGAGTGAAGGCATACCTGCATGCAGGGCAAAGCAAATGAATACACTTACATTTGATTCACTCGCATAGTTCAACAGAAACTATGTATCGTGCTCGGCTGCTAGGGATGCTTAGAATAGGGCTTCAAATCAGATTTTCGTGTTTCTGTCTCACTTACATGGCTGTCAGGAACCTATGCACCTTATGCAAAAAAAATAATAAATACAGGTAAGCCTCAAAAGAGTGCGATGAATGACTGAATTTAGGAGAATTTATGGCTGGGCTTTTTGGTTCATAATGCTCAACCGCAGAGCACAACATTCGGTACGGCGTGCAACATTTGGTACGGCGTGCCACATTCGGTATGGAGTGCTACATTCGGTACGAAGTCCAACATTCGATACGGAGTGCAACATTTAGTACGGGACATAGAAGAATGCACGCAGCCGAGCAGAAGCGCTAACTTGCAGCTATCTTTATGAAAAGAAATTGACAACCAGCCGTTAGTAGCACAAAGCCACAAGAAAACCTACATAGATGACTCAAGAAAAAAAATTTTTTAGTTAGCAAAAATTTGTTCTAGTCCGGACATAGAACCCCGGACAAATACCTTTCCGGGGAGGTCCCTCTACCAATCCAGCTAACTGGAAAGCTAGCAGATTGCAGTGTAGACGGCGAATTAATAGATAGATTGCAGTGTAGCCGTCTACACTGCAATCTTCCACAGCCACAGCCTCGTGACACGGAGTGTCACGAGGCTGTGGAAACATTAAGAAAATTAACGGTTCTGCGGAATCCCCTGTGGGCCGATAACTTCACCGATACAAACTACGGTCAAACCTCGATACAATGAACCCGGATATAACAAAATATCGCCTATAACAAAGTAAATGAAAAATAGTCTCGCAATTGATATAGTGTTAGAAATATACCTTTATAACGAATTTCCAAATATATTAAACTTATTTTCGTGTAAGATGCAACTTTACTATAATTAGGTGTGAGTGTATGTGATGCACTCAACTGACATTGCAAAAATAAGCAAGAGATATCGGTCGGAGCATTCAAGCGAATTCCACGCAAGTCGGACAGCGACGGTGATGAACACAGCTAATTAACTCCCTAATTACTAATGAATTTAGATGAATTACAACAACTTAGCCTTAACCCTATGAGTGTTGAGCTTTTCTGAGAAAACCTTTTCCAGGTGGTCAGTAAAATTACTCTACGGTGTTTTTTAATGTACAAAATGCGAAAAGTCGAAAAATGCGAAAAGTGAGTGAGCGAAACAACTTTACTGTTGATCTGGCATAAAAGGGAAAGATGTAGGGAAATTAAAGCAAGACTCTAGCATGCTCGGACGTCCCGGAACAGCAACCTACTCGCGTCAATCTTGTGGGCGCGCCGCCTTCGATCGCTGGCAAAAAAAATCAGGCAAAAAAATCTTTAAAAATGAGAAACAGTTTTTGATGTCAGCCTTACTAAGAACTGCAAAACGTGCAATAGTATTTGACAGTGTGGTATTTCTTGAAACACGGGTCTAAGCACAATCCTTTATTGCCATCTGCAAGCGTAACACGAGTCTCTATTCTCCTCTCGGAGCGCCAGGTTGTGCTGGCAAACACATGACATCTTCCCTGCATGTGCCGGCCTTGGGCAGAGTTAACTGTGTAATCAAGTAGAGCAAGAATGCCTCGTGAGTGTTGGTAATAAATAAGCACAGTGGCAATAAAGCTGGGAAATCGACTTCCTCCGACCCCAGCGAGAGAATGGCGATATAGATTAGAATCGAATTTCGCGCACCTCCATTGTGATCCTGCGTTGAAATCGAGAGTGCAAAAGGACGCTGCTCATGGGTGTTGCAGCATACTGCACGACACACCGACGATAGAAATCAGTCGTATTTATCTTTGCAAAAAAGCAGCACAATCATTCGCAGCGGTTCTTGAAAGTCCCAAGAAGATGGCAGCAACTCCCAGTGAGAATGCATCCTCATAATGGCACCACAATTGAGGGGGGGGGGTTTGAAAAAACGCAACCTGTATGGCAAGGACACTGCCGGACAGAAAACCATACATGTACAGCAAAGACACACACAAAGGGTTAATACAAACTCTACCATTGATTTCCTAATTAGGGGGATGTGAAATTAGGTGAATTAGGTGTACTTTACACAATTGCCATGCTTTGTGTACAACACTAACGAACTGTTCAGTTAACGAGACGTTAACAAAACGTTACCCACCGCTTGTTGTTGTTCGTCGGCCGCCAAAGGACCATGATGACCAGCAGAACCAGGGAGAAGAGCAGATGCCAGTAGCCCTCGTCGAACCACAGCTCCTTCCAGTCCTGCACACAGGAATGAGGTCATAATCTGCAGCCAAATTCGACGACCAGCTGGTAACTGGTCACTCACCGTCAGGCATTCGGCTGTGCGGTGGTCGAAGGTGACCCACACCATGAACACGACGGATGCTGAAAATAGAAATTGTGGCGAGTCCGGCCTGTTGCTTCGACATCAGGAACAATTCGTGGCACAAGAGACGACATACAAGGGTTATCTACCGACAAAGGTTTATTGAATACCGCTCGCGTTTGTACTGTGTTCATGACTGTTGCACATGCGCACACTACTTTATAAGGAAGAACAACTCTCTGTCTGACAGGTAGGTGTACAGAAGGGGTGCTGACATTCCACATGTTCACAACAGTCCGGTAATATTAAAAAAAAGAAGACTGCAGGTCCGCTTGAAAGTGAACATAGTGTTTTCAGCACTACGGAAGCTGACTAAACCCTGTAATCAGAGAAGCACTCTTGTGCAATGAGGCTGCACAAGTTCATATGTTGCAAGCACTACTCATGTAGAAAAGTGTACGTTTAGATGCTTGTTTTCTTTGTTAGGCACAATATTAATGAAAACTAACAGAAAATAATGCCAAGAAAAACATAGGGGATGCTATTAGAAGCAATTGTAATATAAATGTGAAGAAACAAGAGTAGGCTGAAAAGATGAGTTGTCATCGGCAGGATCCGAACCTGCAACCTGCGAATAACACGCCCAATGCTTTACCACTTAGATACGGTAGAGGTCATTCCTCCATTTACTTTATAGGGCACATATGTGCATCTGAAGGTGGCGGCGCGAGCCGGTGCCACCTGTTGACATTATGGCGAGTGCGGAATACTCTTTTTTGCCTGTCTACTGGCGTCACGTAGTATCGCCACTGTAGCTCAGTGGTAGAACACGAGACGCGTCATTCGAAGGTTGCAGGTCCGGATCTTGCTGATGGCAAGTTATCTTTTCGTGCACTTTTCTTTTTTCGAATTTACATTACCGTTGCTTTTTATAATGTCCTCTCTGCTTCCCTTGGCATTGTTGTCTGCTAGTTCTCATTAAGCACTACTCAGCTCACAGCATGCCACTGTCACCTGGTAAACAATATACAGTCAAGCCCGCTTATAACGAACCTGAGCGTGACGTGGCATTCGTTCGCTGTATCCCGAAGTTCGTAGTAAATGAAACACAGCTTTTAAAGAAAGTTGCGAGTGAAAACACAAACTTTTTTGCCCCAAAAAGTCCGTGATGCACGTGTTTCGAAGAACAGAAGCGATAAGGGCGGTCTCAAGTTCATTTAAAACAGCAGGGTGCTCGTTCGCCGAGGCCCATGGCATAAGCTGCATGAGGCACTGGCTTCGAAGTTTTGTCGTTCTCGCAAACCGATTCCTCCAGATCGCTCTTGCCACGTACTTCATTCACTATGCCCTAATCCGTACACGGTTCCGCAGTGTCGGCATCATCGTCAGGCCGTAATTAAACGATCGCAACAAATGTCCCACCCATTCTCCCAGGTCGAATCGACGACGCGCTGCCACAAATCGCCGCCGCAGTCATCCTGTTCGGCCTCGGCATTGGGCCCGACGTCGACGAAGTCGGCCTCACAAAAACAGTTTCGCGCGCATGTAGCCGTCACCGCCGCCCACGAAATATTCACCATCTCAACAGCTGAATACCGGGACGCCCGAAGCAAGTTGGCTGCCAGGTGGTCAACAGCTATGAGCAAGCGCTTCGCAACGCGGCACCTAACGCGCTGATTACACTCAAGCCAAGCGGTCACAGTTTCAGCGTTTTGTTGAGCAGCACGAAAAAGCGTGCTAGTCCTGCCGTCGGCCATCATGATCACAGACGCACACCAAGAGCGAGCAAGACGCTCACACGCGATACACATGCCAGAGCGCGTGAAACAGCTCTGGGCCCATTTCCAGTCAGAAAACGAAACTCATTCGAGCCAGCGTGGCGGGCGTCGCGGATCGGTGGAGATGGGCGAAGGGGTTGTGCTTAAGAAAGGAGAGTAGATTTGCGAGAGAAGGGCAAGGAGTTGCGATAAAGAGAGGGGAGGAGGGCGACCTTGAAAACCAAAACACACGGGAAGGAGGCAGGTTGGGTAGCTTGCTTGAAAGGTCCGGGAAACTCGCACATAGAAAAACTTGGAAAGAGTTCATGACCGCCTCAATCGGTGCGCGCGGCAGTGTTCGAAGAATCGGCAGCCGTGGTCGAAAAATCGTCTCGTTGTGCCGGCGGGTTTGCGTGGCCTCAAGAACTTCGATATTTCGCGATTCGTTCCGCGCAAATTAACAGGCGTTTTTGCGCTTCCGCACACGCGCAGAAGGCATGCTGAGCCGAGTGCGAAGTGAGCGAGAACAAGTCCTAAACATGAAACGAATCGCAAATTAGAGCCGGTGGGGTAGCGTACGCGCGTGCACTAGACGCAGACTATCGGATACAGTCGGTGGCCGACGATGTTGGCAAATGATCTGGTCACTTCAAGCCGGCAACGCCAACGACAGTACCAGCGATGAAAACAGGGTAGATGGCCGACCGGTCTTCGAAAGATCGGTGGCAGTGTGAAAACACGGGCCTCGTCTGTCGATGCAGGGTGCTCAGAGTAGCAGGGGGACAAAGGACGGAGGGGTGCGTAACAAAAAGCGGTCGGGGAGAGTGGTAACTAGAGGGGCGCGGAGGCAGGGTCGGCGTTTAACAATAAGAATGTATGGGCACCTCGCCGATGCCTGATCGGTGGTCGAAATTACAGCGCTGACTCAGCGGTCTCCGAGTCAGCGCTCGGAGACCGCTGACTCCGTTCAGCGATCTCCGAGCGGATCAGCGGCGCTCCGAGACGTTCGTTGTAAGTGCGATTTTGTGCCATTGAACCAATGTATATTTTCACGGTCATGCGGATATTGTTCGTTTTAAGCAAAAGTTCGTTTTAAGAGGGGCCGTTATATGTGGGCTCGACTGTATTACAGTGCAGACAGGGCGACGTTTAAATGAATGGTTGAAAAAAAAATTTGCAAAATGCATATGAAACGGCACATGATGGTAGGTTGGTGGTGCACTGCAGTTCTTGCGGCTGTGAATCCTTCGGTTCACAATGTAATGCTGTCAGCACAAGTGGTGTCAGGTTCATATGCCAGAATATAGAGGCAGAAAATATATCCTCACACTGCAACCACAATATTACAAGCCCAGATATAATGAAATATCGGTTATAACGAAGTGAATGAAAAAAACCTTGCATTACAAATATAACTTTATAACCAATTTTCGGATATACAGTAGAATCTTGATGATACGAATCCGAAGGGAGCACGCAAAATATTCGTATCATCCTGAATTCGTATGAACCAAAAACAAGCTAAAGCTGATCATGAAGAGGAACAAGAACTTTATTGGGGTCAACTACTTCTTGCTGAAAAAAGTCCATGATGTTATTTTGAATTTATAAGCTTTCACCGCCTCTCACTAAAGTGCTGCGGTTTCCTCACTCATGCTGCTGGCGCAATAAGACGCGTTCACACTTGGCACAAAAGGGAGCGAAAGTGGCAAAATTTATGAAAATTCACTTGCTTCACCACTTAAGCGGCCAGAAAAGTGTGCAACGAAGTCGATACAAAAAAAATCAGTCCAAGAGAATTCACACTCGAGAATTCCAGAGAAAATGCCGGAGCGGCCGCAAAACCCCGTTTGCGCCCTTCGAGAATGTTCTGCCCCACCTATACATGCCAACGCTGCCGGCGTCTCCGCCGCTTGAGAATTTATTACTGAGCATCGAAATTCCTACCAAGTTCTAGTTTTACATGCAAAGAACTGAAAAGAAACAGTTTACACATTTACAAATTTAGTTTCGGGAGATACGTCAGAAGAAATGACACGAGCAGATGCGCCGGCAGTGGCGGCGACGTATTCAGCTGGCAGTGCAAAAAATACACACGTTAGGGCATGCCGACTAGCTACTCCTGCACACCTTCTACTTCCAGTGTTGGCAGCTATCGTAATCCAAACCAGGCTCTCGATGAATGCGTCTTTTTCAAAGGCTGTGAGCTTTGTGGTGCTGCACGGGTAGTTTGCGATAGCACCCAAGTGAGCCACCGCACCCGCTGACACCTTGGCCGCTATCTTTATGTACGGCTGGTTGTTTACATCACATGGTTCAAGAGCTAGTGCAGCCAGTGTATCAAAACTGTAGCAGTAAGGCGATCCACTATCGGGTAGCAGCGAAATTGGTCTCGGACTGATTTTTTCGCGTCGGCCTCCCAGCATGGTCTTCCGGCCACTTTTCGGCGACGAAGCAAGGTAAATTCCAGTGAGTTTTGCCGCATTCGCTCCCTACGAGGTGAAGTGTGGACGGGCCTTCCTCCCACAGACAAGCCGTGTTGCACCGCTCGCGTGCAGCGGTCAATTGTGCGTTTGTATCATTCCCGGTAGCTGGGAAACCGTTTGTATAAAACTGAATCACGGCATATTTTATATAATGTAGTCCATCCGAAGCAATTTTCAAATCCGTATCATCGCGAAATTCGTATTAACCGTAACCATATCATCGAGATTCTAATGTAAAAACTTATTTTTGTGTAAGATACAACTTTGTTATAATGGGGTATCAGTGCATTAGTTTCAACTGCATCAGTACCTTTCTGTGCACTTGTCAGATAAAGAGCTGTCTTTTCTTGGGAAGTAGGCTGCGCTTGTGTGACAGAGATGAGCACAGTATATGTGCTGTTCAATAAACCTTTTTTGGTAGCTGGCGGTCGCACATCAGTCTCTTGTTGTGCGTCGACGTTTCTTGAACTACAAATCAATTTGAATGCTGAAAGTGAGGAGAGACGTGACGATACTTATAGCGCGAGAACAGAACGATGACACAGAGACAAGAAGGACACGAAGGACACCGTCTTGTCCTTCCTGTCTCTGTGTCGTGATTCTGTTCTCGCGCTATAACTATCGTCATATCATACCGACTAGCCCAAGCTGCCACACTGGGGCGAGACACTTCAGCGATAGGCAGTCCTCCGCAAAAAAAAAAAAAAAAAAAAAAAACGATTGCGCACTTACCCAGGACAGCAAACACCAGAGTGTTGGTAAAGTGGCGATATAGGGACAGCTTGATGACGTTGCGACGCAACCGCAGCGTGCGCGTCGTCTGGCTCAGGCTGCTGAAGATCCACCAGCAGATGGCACTGTCCAGCAGGGCCAGCCCTATTCCCAGGACCGTCAGCAACCGGTCGGGCGTGTTCTTGGGCTGCATGCAACAGGTCGCCACACAGCAAACACTTAGGACGTCGGATTGAATGCACGCCCCCAACACTCAGTACTCACAATTTCAAGCAGCTTGAAGAAACTGTTAGATCGAGAACCTCTTCATTCACAAGCTAGCCAAATAAACATGGCAGCGTGTGTAAGGGACACTGCCAAAAGGTACCACGCTCATGTAATGTATCGACTTGCACGGCACCAGACCGCAGATGAAAAACATGTCGTAATTCTTGAAACACTAGGTGTTGGTGAAGTACAGCCCCTTAAATGTTTAGCTATTGTACACAGTGGCAACTTTAGTGTCTGTTAGAGCCATATCATGGAACGGAGTTGGAGAAAAATGTTTTCTGGGCATGCACTTGTCGTCACCCTTGTTGGAACTGAATTCAGTGATATAGCAGAGATACAAAGCCTAAGCTGCCGCTCATGCACGGTAGTTTGGGCGACTGTACAAGAAAACTTTCTAATACACTTAAACTTTGCCCGTTCATTTTGGATGCACAAAGTTTAACATGCCATGCGATATTCCGAACTCGAAACACTGGTGTCATGGCCCATTAGAAACTCGCGCAAACAGTAAGACCACATTCGCTCTTAGCCAAGCGAGTGTTGTTTCGCAGCACCCACCTTAAGTGTGCGCAGGCATCCCTCGACGGAGGCCAGCACAAAGTAGGCAGCCCCCAGCCCGAGCACGCGGTGGAGCATGGGCCCCAGCCGGGGCTTGACGATGCCGAAGCCCAGGCTGACTACCACCACCAGGAGCCGAGCCAGGGACCGTTTGAGGCACGACAGCACCTCAGCAAAGAGCACGGCTCCTTGTACCGAGCGGCCCGTCGTGTTGATCGACTGGTATTCAGCATAGAAGACCGCCTTTTCCAGCATGCCTGCAAACATGTAGATGCACCAACAAATATGTCACGTCCACATGGACTATAGCCAATCTTCACTAAATCCACTTGGGACTCATTCGTGACAGCTGTAGTAATCACGATATCATATGGCATCCGGGCTGCGGCCAGGGGTGTAGGCAGAACCTTTTCCAGAAGGGGAGGGGGGGGGGGTACCCGGGCCTGTGTGCCACCCCCCGGCTACGCCACTTACTCTGGCAATAACTTCCACGTTGCAGTGCGCCTGACCCCACGTTTGGAACCCTTCTGCTAGCCATGCATGAAGTAAAATGGTTGCCTCAGCAGTGAACACAAACACAGTTGAAGCTGCTCATTCTAACCATGCTGAAGTCCCTCATGAACTCCGCACTTTATAATGACAAGTCGTAATTGGGTTCCTCGAAAAGAGCAATAAGAAAGGGGAAGTGGGGGTACGGCATAATTAATAGATAAGACCTAGTTAATGAACAATGATACTGAGCCACACAGAGTGATCTTTAAGATGCCTGCAGGGACTGGGAGAGCAGCACTCACCCAGAAAAATGACACCTCCAATCCAGAACTGGATGCGCAGCAGGTCTCGCCACTGGAGAGCCGACACCACCAGCCACACCACGGCGTAAACCACGTACACGCCACACATGACGCCATAGAACTGCACACCAAGTATGCCTTGACTGTGTCATTCACCCTGTATGCTGTTCTCTGTCACCCGACTTACCGGCAAGAAGGGCCAGTCGACGGCCGACAAGTAGCCGTGGTTGCCCCGCAAGGCTAAATCCACTGGAAGGGGGAAAAGAACACACTCATATAATCTTGAAGGGCCAGTGAACAGGCTTTTTTTTTTTTTAGATTCAAAGCATCTTATGGTCAAGTTCAATCCTGTTGTTCGGTGTGACCACCCTTACTGCGCATGAGCGTCCCCTCTCCTCTCCTACGCTCCCCACCTCTCTTGCCTCACAACACAGGCAGCATCTGCGAGCAAGTTTCTTGATTGAAAAAACCGACTGCTTGCGTTACAAAACCATTCATTGACCACTCTGTATATATAGGCACTAGATCTTGATCTCCAAGGTAGTGCCGGAGGGGGAGATTTCTTCAGTGAGTCGCTGAACCATAAAAATTCGCAGCGTACATGCTAGCTAAATGCAGACTGCGTGTCTCTGTGTCCAATTAGAGTCTTCCGCCTCTCATTGCTCATTAGCAGCAATTGGCATGTTCCCATAGCAAACACTGGTCCATCACTGCATGCTTTGCACCTCCCCAGGTTTCTGAGCTGCGCAATGCCGCGATGGGTGCCGTCTTCAATGCCGCCGCCAGTGTAAGCGTTAACACTCGCTACTTTGCATCTACACATGGTGTACTTTTTTTTACATCTCCCAAGCAAGCCCACTAATTCATGCAGAAAGCCCCAGTGGTCACATTTTTACGACTATCCCAGAGCTGTAAATAAACTTGCGCGCAGGCAACTTGTGCAGCACCGGCTTACGCAATCGGTCCTCTTCGCCCCTTAATGGCGCCTTGCCCCTGCAATGATGGTGGTTTCGGCCATGCATTTACTGTGCTTCTTCACCCCCGCTGCTAGGGTAGCCCTATTACCACCCTAACGCGAGCAACACATAGAGGAAGCCTCGCCCATCTGTTGGCTGCGCGCCAATGACATAATCGCTGACGTAGTGTTACGCTGCGGAAGAGAGTCTAATCATGACAACGGGCTACATCGACACCTCTTCGCTACCGAGCAGGGTGGGAAAGCTTTTCAAGAAAGCAACACCCGCCAAAGCGGGTTGTTTTGCACACCGTAACTTCTCATTACAGCACTTATTCGCTAAATTCTTGCAGCAGCGTGTTCACATCGTGTAAGTGTGCAGTTATCGCTTCATCACATATTTTGGACTGCGGGGCTGTTTACTGGCACTTGAAATGACACTAAATGTTAAAGGAGTACAGACACAAAAAACTTTGGCTTCGGATTTTTCCCTTAAGATGTGTTGATATGGGCCTGTTAGTTATGACACAACATATCACTTGCTGTAGCACGAGACAGATAATTATTTACAAGCCGATCATCATCGACCAGTTTCGGTTTGAGAAAGCTCCACAAACTGGATGCAACTGTCACCACCTAGCGTGTGCAGCTCTTCACTACGTCAGCACACAGAACTACGACACACTTCCACACAGTCCGCATCAAGAATTACTTTCGAATAGGAAACGGGACTGCAATGCCGCCAAACACGAAACCTTCGAAGCGTGCGCCACGGCCACGCACTCGCAACCAGCCATCGAGAAATATAGACTGCGGAAAAAAATGCAGCAAAAGAAAATGGCGGCTATGATGTCATCATAACTTGTTTTGCTGACTGCAGCGTGGTGACATGAGGGAAGTAGGGGGTCCCCAAAGGATCTCCTTCGGGGGTGTCAATCGCATGAGGGAGTGGAAGGCTCAGGCAAACTTCAAAATTCTTTTAAAGTACCTTTCCAGCTATATTCACTGTTGATATTTTGCAGATAATATACAATAGTTCTTGGGAATTGAGCTCGCAGGCTATCTCAGCCACGAAACTTTGTGTCAATGCCCTTTTAAAGTAAAAGCTCAGTATAAGATGGAAGCTCAAAGAGAGAAGAAATGGTTAAACACAACAAGTTGCTAGAGTCAAGGTTTGGAAAGAGTCATGTCTTATTCAAGTTGCTACTTTGCAGAAAATACCACTTGTCCCAATGTCGGCTTCACGAACACCCCTTGTTCAAGAATTTTTTTTTCGTTTAAAGGCTTTAACAAAAACACTAGATCACCTCTATGCAATGATCTACCCGACATTAAAGCAGTTCAATGCCACAGGTATCCCACCTTGCACGGAAAAGTTGCCGTCGGAGCGTAGATGCAGCAGGAGCATGTAGATGCCATCATCGTTCACGCTGGACAGCTGTGGTGCCGCCGTTGGCTGGATTGTGGTTTTGTTGCCTCCTGTATCTATTGGCAGGCAAGAACAGCATGGCACTACTCAAACTCTGCTGCTCAATGATTTCAAATGGTCGGACAGACAAACTGAAAGGAGATGCGAAACGCACGGGGCTGACACATTTCACAGTTACGATGTCGACCTAAACTTGTTCCAACAAGGCTTGGCTACTGGCCAAAATTTCTCAACTTTGCCAAAACCTGCCTTTCGCCAGCTGATTCAAGAGAGTGTGAAGTTGCAAACTGCAAGCTTGCATACTTTATCGCGATAGCAATGGTCACTCTCGGCTGATTTTCGCTGTCACCATCATGTCCTGGATATGTATATATTTATAAAAGGCACAAAGAAAAATAATTCAGAAGAAAGAATTCTAAGGCAACCATGGGCGATTCAAACCAGCGAACCCTCAGTCCTTAGTTCTCTGCATTAGCCAAATACACCACGCATCTAATACTGTCTATCCCACTAACGGTGAGCTACGTATATAAATCACTTACATCTGGCTTACTGTTCAACCAAACTAGTTTAACCCCCGAGCAACGCTGCCGCGTGCTCGGGGGTTGGACTTGTTTGGGCCCGTCACCTTATGGTCGGATGCTGGAGAGGGTGGGGAAGAGATTTGGCTTGTGAAGGCTACGCGGAGGAGCGGCAAGAGTTTGGAGCTCACATCCTCTAATCTTCGTTTCGCGCCGCCTCAAAAAACCTGTTTTCTCCGCTCGTGATGAACCGATTCGAAAAAATTTTGTGGCAAAATGTTCCTCATCGGACACCCAACTTCCACTGTCTAACTAAAATTCAGTATGGGGCCTGGTGAGTGGCCCTTTAAACATTTACTTGTCCGATGGCATGATCATGGAGAGGTGGATTCATTTATGGATGAAAAGGGCATTCCAAAATGTCTCTGGCTCCACTTTCACTCAGAAGGAACAGGAAAAATTGCTGGCATCAAGTCTAGGACTAATTGGGAAGTTTCTGGTCATGCCTGTGAACTTAGTTCCCATTTAACTACACACCGTCGCTATCACTTTAGACAGACAAACTCAACTCGCTGCCCCAGATGAGTTGTGATGCTTGGCCCATTAGAACATTGTGCAGCTTCGTCGGCGCAGAAGTGTACACCTCACATGGAACCTTGCGGACTGACGTCGTCAACTTCTTGCTGCACAACTTCCGTGCAGTGTGCAGTCTTACGCATATGTCTCTCTTCCCCAAGTGAAAAACTATATTTTGCTTGACAATGAAAAGTTCTGGCAGCATCACCTGGCTGTGTGCTAAATGCAGTATTTTAAGGATGTGCTGCCTTGAGTTAAAACGCTGGGTAGATTTTACCTATTAAATGAAACAAATACAATCGATGGGCCGATAGGAGAAATCGATGGGCCGATAGGAGAAAGCCCGTGCATTCCCCTCTTCCTGTGTACCACTTACCCTTTGCCTTTGGTAGGTAAGCTTTGAGCTGAAAGAAAAGGAGAAGATGGTCTCAGCAATGGGACTCGCACGCAAAACGGTCGTTTCACACAAGGAGATAGGGAAAAAAAAACTGCTGGAGTGGAAATCGTGCCTGGAAAGTGAAGTCAGGCCTCCAGCGTCTTACTCCAAGCACGTTAAAATGTTAACATACAGCGAAGAAAAGGTGGAGTCTGCCTCACATGCTGTATGAATTTATTACCAGAAATATTCCCGGACAGCTACTGCTCAGCAGGCGTCTTAGTGCTACTAGTTTCCTTAAAAAGCCTAAAGTCTCGGCATAATTTTGTAGAGATCAAGTTACCAATGCTTGTCCAGATGTATTGTTTTTGTCGGGAACATCGAAGTATTTAGGCTAGTGTTTACATGAGCAGAAGGAAGGCACTTTCTGATTGGGCATCGTATGAGATGGCCATGTTCTTGGCTTTACATTTACAGCTACGACCTTTTGAAAGCTTCCACGTCTGATTATTTTTTTTAACCTTCTTGATTTCGGTTCGACTCACCGGCGAACTGCGTTTCAGCGCTCCCAGGTCGATCAGGTGCAGGCACTGGTGGCGCTCGCTTTCGCCGCGACTGTACGGGCTGGCCAACTCGAACAGCTTGGCGCCCGCTTCCAACCCGGCTAGCTGCTCCTGCGTCTGAAGGTGCACGATCCGCGCATCAGGTCGGCCGACTACACCGCCGTTTCGTTACGTACCAAAAGGTCTACATCGAGGAACTCTTGGAAGCAGGGGCTGCGGTATATCGTCCAGCCCACTTCGAGCGCCAGCGCGCTCCCCGAAACGCTGGGTTCACAGGAAACTGCGGCACAGAATAAAAGCGTTCGTTGGCAGCGCGTTTCATCACTTCTCTTCACCGGTCAAAGCATCCATCCGGTGTAGCCAGCGCGTAGGCGACCCGCGGCATCAAAATACTACGTACCTTAATGCGCGCTTTTCTTTTTTTCACGCGGTTATGAAAAACTTACCTGTCACAGAGATCGTGGATCCGTTGTAGAGGCTCTTCTGAACGGCGAAGTATTGACTGGACACCTGCGATCACCGAAAAGCAAGAAAAGGGGGTTGGTTGTTTGGATCGAAAACAAACCACGAGCCACCGGCCGGCACACCACGAAACACAACACAAAGCGACGTTACGGCGAAATATCGCACACAGCGGGGAATGCGATAGCAACTGGCACACGTAACACCTGGACGAGAAAACATTTCACGATCGGCGGATTTTCTAACGTTAACGCAGGACGGAGAGAGGGCCGAACGTAAACACCCACATTAACGGCCTTGAAGGACCACTTTCCTTGATCGGGGAAACAGTTCGAAGGAACGCACAACAACAAAAGGCCCAAATATAGCCGCATCTTCACGAAACATTCACAACGCTATGTTTTACACGGGGCCATGGAGTGGTTTATCGCGACAGCACGTACACCCGACAAGCATGACACACGCTCATCAGAGACGAACGGTGTCAGCCGTGTCAGTGGAGCGCATTTTCGTATGCAAATACATCAATCACAGTTACTCAAATGTAGTCGTCAAAGGTCTCAAAAAAAGTAGAGATAAAATAGTTGTAGCTAGTAATTATAGTAATCATTGATGGAGTATATGGTGAACGCCACCGCTCTGTACATGTCCTACGAGATTTGTTGTCGTTAATCTCAAAGGCCATGGTTTTTCGTACTGAAGGCGCTCCTCACAGTGCTGGCCCAAATGTATGCGCGCGCGCAATGTGAAGCTTAAAGCGTCAGGTATACAGTACACCTCCCTGCAAACCAGTAGATGGAAGAGTAGAATTTCCGAATATGTCTAATTGAATCAAGATAATGTCTTACCACAATGACACTGAGATACTTTCGTTTATAGCGAATATCGGATACAGTGAAGCCGCATTTCTAGTGTAAAATGCAACATCTTTGAAACTGTCTTCGGCTAGACTTTTATTACCACCGGGGGGGGGGGGGATATAAGGGCCTTCCTATATTAAATTTTCTCTCTCTCTCTCTGTGCGATATAAGTTCAGATGCCTGCATAAACACCAGATTTGCTGGCGCTCCTTTCTCAAAATTTCTACACACAGAATTAGTCATATTGTGAGTAGGCTCAAAAACCAAATTGTGTTCTAAGTTCCTTTGTGATTGCAAAGTTACATCTGGAAGAAGTGACATTTTACTTCCACCAGCAAGAATATTATTGGAAATCCACTGCAATATTGTTCCACTTTCAAAAAATTAATCAGTTCTTGGCTTGAGCAGATTTCTTTTATATATGGCTTTTGAAGTTACCTGTTGACTTTCACACTTCTATTCCTAGCACCAGAATACTTCTGCGGGCCAACAAGAGACCGTGAAATATTTTGGTTGTGTCTATAGCAGTCTTACATGTTACCTGGTGAGCTGTCATAATTCAGCAAGATTCACAATCAGTATTGAAGGCAATAGTAATATCTTCTTGATGTCAAATTACACTCTTTCGATGCAATGTTTTGCTTTTGCAATATCTTCTGTCACGACACATCCATTACCTACTAGAAAAAAGCAGCCAAAAATGCGTTGCAGGAAGCCTACTGTAATTTATTTAGGACAATGTGAGGGGAGCAACTGCAACTTTTTTTAGGGTTCCGAATCTGAGAAACTTCTTGCAGTTAATACTGTTATACTCAAACCTTATTATATGACAAAGTTCAAAGTTGCATATTACAGAAAAATAAGTTCGTTATATCTGAATATTCATTATCAAGGTATATTGCTAATACTATACCTATTGCAAAACTATTTTTTGATTTACTTTGTTAAAACCAATATTTTAATGTCGTGGTTGTCCCAGCTAATGTACAGATCTCTGTAAAACTCCTCCACTATTTTAACTATCCTATCCATATTGGTAGTCATTTTGCCTTCTTTGTCCCTTAGTGCATACATCCGAGTTTTGCCTATCCCAAATTTCCTCTTCACTGCTTTGACGCTTCCCCCGTTTTTCAGAGCGTGTTCAATTCTCTCCATGTTATACCTTCTTACATAGCATACCTTACGCCTATTAATCAACTTCGAAAGCTCTGCCAGTTCTATTTTGTCTGTTGTGCTTGAGACTTTCATGATTTGATGCTTCTTAATGAGATTCTTCGTTTCCTTGGAAAAGCATGCCAGTGTCCTGTCTAACTACCCTACCTCCAACTTCTACTGCACACTCCGTAATGATACTCGTCAGATTATTATTCATTGTATCTACGCTAAGGTTGGTTTCCTCACTAAGAGCCGAGTACCTGTTCTGAAGCGAGACTCTGAATTCCTGTGCTTTCCCTCTCAGTGTTAGCTCATTGATTGGCTTCTTGCGTATCAGTTTTTGTCGTTCCTTCTTCAAGTCTAGGCGAATTCGAGAACGTACCATTCTATGGTCACTGCATCGTACCTTGCCAACCACTTCCACATCCTGCACGATGCCTGGGTGTGCACTCATTATAAAGTCTATTTCGTTCTTATTTTCGCCATTAGGGCTCCTCTATGTCCCCTTGCGGTTTCCTCGTTTTCGATAGAAGTTATTCAATATCCGTAAATGATTGCGTTCTGCAAATTCTACTAGTAGCTCTCCTCTGGCGTTTCTAGTACCGATGCCATAATCTCCTACTGCCTGGTCTCCAGCCTGCTTCTTCCCTACCTTTGCATTAAAGTCTCCCATCAGTATAGTATACTGTGTTTTTACCTTACTGATTGCTGATTCCACGTCTTCATAGAAGCTTTCAACTGAAGGGTCATCATGGCTGGATGTGGGCGTGTAAGCCTGTACCACCTTCATCTTGTATCTTTTATTCAGTTTAGTTACAATACCTACCACCCTTTCATTAATGCTATAGTATTCTTCTATGTTGCCAGCTATGTTTCTGTGAATTAGAAACCCCACTCCCAGTTCTCTTCTGTCAGCCAAGCCCCTATAGCAAAGGACGTGCCCATTCTGTAGCACCGTATAAGCCTCATCTGTCCTCCTAACCTCACTGAGCCCTATTATATCCCATTTCACACCCTCTAGCTCCTCAAATAGTACAGCTAGACTTCCCTCCCTAGATAATGTTCTAGCGTTAAACGTTGCCAGGTTCAGGTTCCAATACTATAAGAACTAGCAGTAACCCAGATGACCCCCCACCAGTAATGATAGAAGTCAGAAAAGCTTTGGAGAGCATGCAAAGAGGCAAAGCTGCTGGCAAGGATCAAATAACATCAGATCTGCTGAAAGATGGAGGAGAGATTGTGTTAGAAAAACTAGCGACCCTGTTTACGAGCTGTCTCCTGACGGGAAGAGTACCAGAGTCTTGAAAGAATGCTAACATCATCTTAATACATAAGAAAGGAGATGACAAGGCCTTGAAGAATTACAGGCCGATCAGCTTGCTCTCTGTAGTACACAAGCTGTTTACAAAGGTAATTGCTAACAGAGTAAAGGAAACAATAGAATTCAATCAACCAAAGAAACAAGCAGAATTTCGAACAGGCTACTCAACAATCGACCACACTCATACTATCAATCAGGTAATAGAGAATTGCTCAGAATATAACCAACCACTATACATAGCCTTCATAGATTATGAGAAGGCGTTTGATTCAGTAGAAATAACAGCCGTCATGCAGACACTGCAGAATCAGGGCGTCGATGAAGTATATATAAACATCCTGGAAGAAATCTACAGGGGATCAACTGCTACCATAGTGCTTCATAAAGAAAGCAACAGAATACTAATCAAGAAGGGTGTAAGGCAGGGGGACACAATCTCCCCAATGCTATTTACCACGTGCTTACAAGAGGTTTTCAGAAGCCTAGAATGGGAACAGTTAGGGATAAGAGTTAATGAAGAGTACCTTAGTAACCTGCGCTTCGACGATGACATTGCATAGCAGGGGACGAATTGCAACTCATGATTACGGAGTTAGACAAGGAGAGCAGAAAGGTGGGTCTTAAAATTAATCTGCAGAAAACGAAAGTAATGTACAACAACCTCGGAAAAGAGCAGCACTTTGCGATAGGTAACAGTGCACTTCAAGTTGTAAAAGACTATGTATACTTAGGGCAGGTAATAACCGTGGAGCCAAACCACGAGATTGAAGTAACTAGAAGAATAAGAATGGAGTGGAGCACATGTGGCAAGCACTCTCGAATAATGACAGGTAGGTTGCCACTATCCCTCAAAAGGAAGATATATAACAGCTGTATCTTGCCGGTACTTAGCTACGGAGCAGAAACCTGGAGACTTACAAAGAGGGTTCAGCTTGAATTGAGGACGACGCAGCGAGCAGTGGAAAGAAAAATGGTAGGTGTAACCTTAAAAGACAAGACGAGAGCAGAGTGGATTGGGGAACAAACGGGGGTCAAGGATATCATAGCTGAAATCAAGAAGAAGAAATGGACATGGGCCGGGCATGTAGCGCGTAGACAGGATAACCGCTGGTCATTAAGGGTAACTGACTGGATTCCCAGAGAAGGCAAGTGAGTTAGGGGGAGACAGAAGGTTAGGTGGGCAGATGAGATTAAGAAGTTTGTGGGTATAAATTGGCAGCAGCAAGCACAGGACCGCGTTAAGTGGCGGAACATGGGAGAGGCCTTTGTCCTGCAATGGACGTAGTCAGGCTGCTGCTGCTACTGATGATGATGAATCAATATTTTGTTATATCTGGATTCGACATGCTGTGGATATGGACTGGCTGCTGTTATTTCCACGTAACAGTATCGAGGTTTAAGCGTACATTGTGAGTTGTTACATGTAAATACTGTTTAGTTGTTGCTGTGTCGGATTTTCTGGCTCAAGAGGACAACCATGCTATATTGGGCCACAAATACCGTTTAGTGTTTGCTCAAAAACACATATATTCCTCACACTTTTTTTTTGATGCTCCATTCTGCCCACAAACCATTCTTCAATAAAAAAGACTAGCTGGGTGCTTAGTTGGAACGTACACGTGACAAGCTTAGTAAGCAGGAATAACTCACAGCATGAAAGAAAAAGAGATATTCTCTGGACACGCATTCACTGCAATCGCACTGCGCCACCACCATCCTCACGAGAGGAAGCAGTGCCACTGCTTCCTCTCGTGATCAAAGCTTTTCTAAATCTTGCCTCTCTGAACGAAGTCTACTTACTGCTTCTGTCCAATTAAAACACCAGGGGCGTCGCTTCGGCACCTCAAATGCGAGCTAAGAGGCCCACATTCGATGCAAATAAAGATTCCTTCTTCCTGGCACCTCATGAGTGTTCAGAAGCTCCTGTTTTTACTGCGTTGGCACGAAGCCTTCTCAAACACTTTCGTCTGGTCGGCTCGAACTGTACGCCGGTTTGAATGCATGCCCTGGCTAGATGGAATAACTGGTGACGAAAAAGAGATTTGAACTCTCGCGGGTGACGTGCCTGGCGTTTTACTTGGACAGAACACCCACACTGTTACGCAATTCATTGCTCGAGCTGTTGCAGATCGCCCTCCATCTTCAATGCCACAACCGAGTGCACCACAAACCTTTTCCTCTTTTGCCAACTCTCCTTTAATGCCACACTAAAAATAGCTGCAGGACAATGGGCCTCTCCACGGCCTCCGAGCCATAACACAACTGGCTTAACACATCGACGGAATCATTTTAAAGGCCACAGAATAGGGGTTCCTTTCATGCTGCTCGATCATTAATAGTAAAGATGTTTTGTTTTCACTCACTCTCTCTTTTGGCACAAACACTTGTCCCACATCTACTTCTTTCACTTGTGCTGCTTCTCGCTCTTGCGAACCTTTCTACATTCACATGTCCACCAGTGATATGACCCAGCGAGCAATAAAAACAAACGTAGAGTTTTATTCTAACAAATATTGCATTAACATTTCAAGACAATCTTTATTCTGGTTTAACAAGTGAGCCATTCGTATTAGCACCGAGCCCTTCGCATCGACGGCATCAGCAGTGTTGAAACTTGCACGATGCTAGCAGCACATCGCCCTCAACCTGAAAATGGCTGACACGCTGCAATGGTTGCAGCCGATGCTGGAACTGCAGGTAGTGCTGGCCATTTACGGCCACGTCGTAGGTGGCATCCAACACCTGCGCACGAGAAGACGGTGCACTTCTTAGTTGCAGGAATCGCAGGGTCAAACCACAGCAAAGTGGTGCTTGGCAGGGATGAAATAAATGGAAAAAAAAAACAGGAGGAGCACCAATCTTGAAGCACTTGTCCGGTGGCTTCTTTTTCTTTGTCACGTTCTTCTATGTGCAAATGTACGAATGAAATAATCTCAGTTGTAATGAAGTCATATTTCCAACCTAACCTAACCTAACATCTAATTGATTGATTGATGTGTGGGGTTGAACGTCCCAAAACTACTATATGATTATGAGAGACGCCGTAGTGGAGGGCTCTGGAAATTTCTACCACCTGGAGTTCTTTAATGTGCGCCCATATCTGAGCACACGGGCCTACAACATTTCGACCTCCATCGGAAATGCAGCCGCCGCAGCCGGGATTCGATCCCGCAACCTGCGGGTCAGCAGCCGAGTACCTTAGCCACTAGACCACTGCGGAAGGGCTAACCTAATACCTGTGTCACACGGGCACGCAAAAAGTCTTTTAAGTAAGCGGTCTTTTTACGAGGTTGAAAGACTTTTAACAAAGAGGTGTTGCGGCGCAGACAAACGGCAGCAACGATCTCCTTTTAGTGTTTTCGTTCGAAGACGCTAGCGAAAGCGTGGCGCTAGCAGTTAAAAGAGAAGCAATGAAAATTAAACTATGTATCACGATGTACAAATTAAAGACTTGTTGCACTGCTCGTTCCTTCAAATAAATTTAAGAATAAGAGATGAAGAAACACCAATGTGAAAGTTTGTTGCACTAGTTAAGGAAGCATTTCCACAACTAGCGACGTGCACAAGTCCGTCTGGCACCACTGGGCTTTTATTTACCGTATTTGTTTTTCGCTGCTCTCGACTACTCTCGACACGTTATGGGCGACCGTACGGAAGAAAAAGCGAGGATCGCAAGCCTCACGGCCTGCCTTCTCACTCTGGAAAGCGAGGCAGACGCTGCAAAAGCCGCCAAGGAGAGGATCAAGCAGCAACTGCTGTTCAGCAATTCCTTGCTGTGCGCACTGGAGCCGTCGGAGAAGGCCTGCGATCGATCGATCTGGGCCTTCAGACGAAACGAGAGGTGGTTCGAGGGAACTGTACCTCACCTCGGTCAGCAGAACTTCAAGCAATCTTTTCGAGTGTACCGGTCCACCTTTCGTTTCATTGTGGAGAGCTTGCGCAGTGAGCTCGAAAGACAGTACACCAGCATGCGTGAAACCATCACTCCTGAGAAGCGAGTCGGCATTGCCCTATACAAGCTTGACCACTTGAATGACGGGCAAACACACGACTGTCACGCTTTCCTTGCTTGTGCAAAATGGCGCGGCGCGATACCGAGCGTCACCACGTGATATTGCCGACGTGTTGTAGCTGCTTACGAGAGTAGAAAAGGAAATAACCATTAAAAGAGTTCATTACACCTTTTGCAGGATATGTAATTTGTTTTTACAAAGAGTTTTGGTGACAGAAAAATAAGCATTCGCTCTTTTTTTTCCACCGCATGAAAATTGCTCGCGCCCACTGGTTTCGAGGCTACTCATTTGGAGCCGTAAAAGAGATCGACGAACTCTGTTTACGAAAAAGACCGCTTCTGAAAAGGAGTTCGCTCTGTGCCGTGTGTCTGCTGTCAGGAACTCCTTTTCGGAAAAAGACCGCTTACTTAAAAGACTTTTAAGTGCCCGTATGACAGGGGTATAACCTAACATAAACTATACCCCTGTCACACGGACACTTAAAAGTCTTTTAAGTAAGCGGTCTTTTTCCGAAAAGGAGTTCCTGACAGCAGACACACGGCACAGAGCGAACTCCTTTTCAGAAGCGGTCTTTTTCGTAAACGGCGTTTGTCGATCTCTTTTACGGCTCCGAATAAGTAGCCTCGAAACCAGTGGGCGCCAGCAATTTTCGAGTGGTGGGAAAAAAAGAGTGAATGCTTATTTTTCTGTCACCAAAACTCTTTGTAAAAACAAATTACATATCCTGCAGAAGGTGTAATGAACTCTTTTAATGGTTATTTCCTTTTCTACTCTCGTAAGCAGCTACAACGCGTCAGCACTATCACGTGGTGATGCTCGGTCTTGCGCTGCTTCATCCTCTCCTTAACGGCTTTTGCAGCGTCTGCCTCGCTTTCCAGAGCGAGAAGGCACACCGCGAGGCTTGCGATCCTCGCTTTTTCTCCCATACGGTTGCCCATAACGTGTCAAGAGCAGCAAAAAACAAATACGGTAAATAAAAGCCCAGACGGATTTGTGCACGTCGCTAGTTATGGGAATGCTTCCTTAACTAGTGCAACAAACTTTCACATTGGTGTTTCTTCATCTCTTATCCTTAAATTTATTTGAAGAAACGAGCAGTGCAAAAAGTCTTTAATTTGTACATCGTGATACATCGTTTAATTTTCATTGCTTCTCTTTTAACTGCTAGCGCCACGCTTTCGCTAGCGTCTTCGAACGAAAACACTAAAAGGAGATCGTTGCTGCCGTGTGTCTGCGCCGCAAACACCTCTTTGTTAAAAGTCTTTCAACTTCGTAAAAGACTGCTTACTTAAAAGACTTTTTGCGCGCCCGTGTGACACAGGTATAACCTAACTCAACATAATGCAATTTCGCGTAAAGACCCTGCTGCTCTTCTACAAGTGTGCACCCAGTCCATCGCAACCACACAGGATGCGTTGTGCTAGCTCTGTGCAATAGTTAAATATTACACAGATGCTCCTATTTTGGTACACTCAAACCACACTATAACGAAGTTAAATCTGAGAGGAAAATAAGCTTGTTATACCCAAAAATTCGTTATAAAGGTATATTCCTGACACTGTATCTATTGCGAGACTATTTACTTAGTTATAACCAATATATCATTATATCCAGGTTCATTATATCGAGGTTTCAGTGTATTTCCAGTGCTATAAGTCTTTTTAGAACCCCAGGTGGTCAAAATTTTCGGAGCCCTCCACTACGGCGTCTCTCATAATCATATGGTGGTTTTGGGACGTTAAACCCCACAAATCATCAGTCTTTTTAGAGGCTAGACAATCTCCTGTTTGGGTGTTTCCATAGCCAAGAGTGTTGTTCAGGGGCTAGCTGATCTCCGATCTGAGTGTTTCCATAAGAATCATCTGGAGGGAGAAAGCAGAAGGCTTACTCGGATGAGCACGTCAAAGTGCACTCCAGGGGTGAAGGGGAAGCCGTGGCACTTGCGCTCCTCCGTTCCCCAGTCACCATCCTGAAAGCTGTTGCGCACCATCTCCTTGCGATGGAAGCGCGGGTTGAAGTGGAATGCGATGTCCGAGCCCAGGCCGCCGCACTGGAAGTTCAGCGAGAACCTGCAACAGGCATTGTGCGGAGCTTCAATTTTAGGGACAGACCAAAGGGGTACTGACACGAAAACTTCGTTCTTTTTTTTTATTTATTTATCAAACAAAATGCCCAGCTCTCTCAAGGGCCTTGCAAATTTATTGGTAAGCAAAAGTGTACCCTGAGAAATTGTAATTGCAGTATGTTTTCAAAAGCTAGTTCCTACAGTACACTGACTTCATAACACAGTATGAGCTTCTGATCAAGTGTTTGTGCATGATGCGAGGTTTCCATGGTTGCTCTGTTCTGTGCCTCCAGCGGTAACACACAACGGACTGCACCAAGCGTTTCTAGTGAGACAGAAGTGGTCATTTTGGATGTTCTTACGGCAAAAGCTGTTATGAGGTCACAAGAAGGGTTGCATTCGCCATAGTTGTCTACCGCGGCCCGCCGTTTTCCGTAACCATTATCGCGCCAAATAAAAAAAAACTTGGGTAAATAACAAATACCAACAAGTTGATGGGATTCAAACCTGGGTCGCCTGGATGCCAGCCCAGTATTCTACTACAGAGTCTCGCCGCTGCTTGAAACTTTTTTGAAAAGAGGCTGGTTTGTTGCCAGGAAAGGAATCGCGTTAATATGAGTACATATATTTTAGAACAGTCAGGTGCCAGACAATGTGACTTGCATAACGAGTGGGTCGCTGAATGCTCTGATCCATTACAAAAGCTTCAAGCATAATTCTTCCTTGTCGTCAGCCACATCATCAAAAAATTGCTAAAAATTCTTTGCAAGTGTGTAGTGGATACCTCGCTTCTCCAAAGAACAACAAAGGAAGGTAAAAAGAATACCTCCCTGCTACACACAAATGATGATTAATGATGTAATGGGTACCCTGCAAGTGTGTTTGTAGCAGTTACCAAAATAGTGTTTAAAAAGGCTCTGAAAGGCCGCTCTTCCAGCTTTTGCTGTGACTGTGCTGCTCGTTCCGCGCAGGCCTGGCGGTTCTTTGGTGCCTCCTGTCATCACAACTAGCCGTACCGGTGTGTGAAGTCACCAGAATCGCCCGGTGTGATGGCGGTGTCAATTTCAGTAGGTGTGCTAACCAAAAATGAACTTTGATGTCAAAACAAAATGTCTTATCAGCATTCACATAGCTTCACACTTACCCACAGTCGTCTCTGTATACAGGAGATTCATCTGGCAGAATACACTCAGCTTCAAAAATGGGCGTCAGTACTCTTTAACCCTATACCGTTTGCATTAAAAAACAATTACAGTTTACCGGGCTTGGTGGGATAGCCGGCTTACCGGGATCAGTGTGCGCACGCACCGTAACGTATGCAACCCGTACCTCTCCTTGTATGCTGGCTATTTTTCCAATTTAATGTTACCGCGTCAGTGTGCTTTACGTACTGTACGTGAAACACGGCAGCCGTTTCGGACGCCTGCTTTGAAGTGATTTTGGCGTAAGTTGTTGAAATGTTCACTTCGTCCGCAGCAAACAACTGTTTAAAATGGCTTCGCTTGCCTTCAGTTAGCTTCAATGACCGAGTATATTCGGTCATAAGTTTGCATTTAGGTACACAGGAACTCTCTAGTGTGTTTGAGAATAAAAAGTTTCTCACTATCACCACCACAAGTTTATGCAGACCTTCTCAAGCGTGACTTACGAGGTGGCCTCGCTGTGCGGTCGGCCGCTGACGTAGACCATGAGACCAGGTTTCAGGCGACCGCCGGGCAGCATGTACAGGAACGGCGTCGACTGCATGGCAAAAGGACTTTTGAGGGTGGGCTTCTTCAACGCCTGCTGTTCTGCAGCTGTCCGGATTCTTTCCCGCATTTTTGTTCACGGTGCTCGGATGAGCAAACGCGCATAAACTTCCAAAACAACGTAGTTTCATCGTTTCCGAACAGCCACTTTCCATCACATCATGCATACTCCTTTAACAGCACCGCAGTTCCCCAGGCAAAGGCATAGAAATGCCTTGGCGTCATCTTCCCTCACAACATGCAATGGTCATGCCAAATAGGCTACACTACATCTAAAGCATTACACTAATTATGTTACTTATGTTACGTCAGCTAATTACGTTAAGTCAGCTACATCTCAAAATCAACCAAATCGCTAATGTACAAAGCACTGATTCGTCCTATATTAGGGTACGCTTCGTGTGTATGGAGTCCATACAAAGTGTGTGGTGTAGATAAAATCAAATCTGTACAAGGGAAACCTGTTCGTTTCGTTTTTCATCTATAGGACCATGACTTTTCTCCCTTATCTGCAATGAAATCTTTGAAATTATCACCATTGTGTATAAGGCGTGATATCAACTCATTGAAACTATTACATTCTTTCCTTCATTCCTCATGCCGGTTATCTAATGACAATCACGGTTTGTATGCTAGTGCTCTACCCACGAGAAGAGGTCACAATCTAAACGTTAAACCGTTTTTTGCACGTACTAGCATGTTCAAATTCAGTTTTTTTCAAGAACAATCGTTTACCGGCACGATTTACCTGGTTTTGTTAGTGAAAATAATATATCAGATTTTATAGAGTCATTTGAGTGCGTTAATATTTTTAATATGTGCTTAGAAGGTGACGGTATTTGTTCTGTAAAAAATAGTTCTGATATTATTGTTATTTTTTACTGTTGTGTTTATGTACCCCACTTTTGCAATAGCCTTGAATTGGGCTGCGGTATCTATATAATAATAATAGCCGTTTCAGTTCTTCAGCCATATGAACGAGCAAATCTATCACCAGCTTCAACCCCTTAATGCCTGAATTATGAAACTGCCAAACAAAAGAAAATTCTTTTCATATTCCAGCTTTAAATAGCAACCTTTGTGTTATTCTGCAGGTAAATTATCTAAAGTGCAACTTTAATGCATACTTTGATGTAATTATCTAAAATTCAGCTTTAATGTGTACTTATGTATGTCACAAATTCTCCGTATGCCACAAAAACGAGGACCCTGCAGCAAAAAAAAAAGGACTTCAGCACTACATAACACGTCGTGTGCCACATGTTGGGTGTGTACACACCAAATAAAACATTTCCTGACGATAGGAAGTACGTCACTCAGCCGAGACAGAACGAAGAAGTGAGAGCTGTTGCACGCGTTTTGCACCTTCCGCCATCAGCAACGAAACAATTGGTTCTAGCATGAAATAAACTTAACACGAGACTGCACCAGATCTTTCACGCCCGAAGCTACGTTCACTATGAGTGCTTGACAGCCGGTATCGAAGGCGGTACGCATTTTGTGATTTGTTTTTTCGAAGTTTTTCGGTATCTCCCCAATTCGCAACACTTGGCAGTAAAGGGCTTACTATGGTTATGCTTCATGGCACCAAAAGTACGAGGACCTGCCACATATCAAATTGTTTCTTGTCACTATTTCTCACCCCTACTTCCTTCCTCTTCTTAAAGAATCTGGAGCAACAGTCATGCTCAACCAAATGTGCAACATTACAGAACTTCGCCGAGATTGCACTATACGCTCAATCCTCATCTTAACAAAGTTGCATCTTACATAAAAATAAGGTTTTTATACCCAAAAATTTGTGACAAACATTAATTTATAACGCTGCATCCATTACAAGACTGTTCTTTCTTAACTTCGTTATAACCAATATTTCATTTTATCCAGGTTCGTTACATCGAGGTTTGAGTGTAGTGTGAAATTCCAACCAAGCTTTCCTACCCGAGCAAGCTACCCCTCCGATTTCACAGCTAATCTCAAATTTCCACACCACTCTGGGGATGCGCCCCCCTCCCCTCCCGTGAGCACCCGATCGTGCACCGGCTGCATCAATACAACACAATGGCTTGCTTGAATCCCATCCAATCCTGCTTAGCTGCCCAGTCTAAGCGTTGCACCTTAAGTTTACCATCAAAACAAAACAAAATCTTTTGACCGCGTAATGATTGCACCCCAAGCTCACAGCAGGCATTGATGACAATTTTCAGGGTCCCGCACACAAAAGCATGGCCTTTGAGACTTGTATTCCAACTAGAGCTGAGTGAATAGCAAAATTTTGGGTGTGCAGCTAATGCAAATATTGAAGTGTTAGTGCGAATCAAATATACTTTTCTAATATTTTTCGAACATTTCTAGAATACTTTTCACATGCTTCAAAAAGAAATAACAGGAAAAGAAGCAGAGAAGATTCTTATGAGATAGTATAAAATATCATCATCAAACGCCGGATGAAGAAGAAAGAAGACTGCTGCCTGGAGCGAGCACGTGCTACTTCGCTGCTTCTAATAAACCGTGTTCGTTCGAAGCAGTCCATGGTCTCGATCGTCTTAATAGACAGCAACATGAAAGTGTTTCTTTTGGCCAGGTTGCCAAGTGCCGGTGGGGTGATGCTTCACAGTTGTCCTATGAAGAGTGAGCAAATGCAGAGTCGTAATTGCTTTTATGTACATGATTTTGTGCAATCAAAGCATTGTCGAAAGCACCTTACATGTGAAAGGCAAAAATGATATTTTATCAGCATCTCCTTTTCTTTCAACTTCTAGGGAAGACCAACTGATTTGGCGGACAGTGGCATGCTCTCTTCGAGTCTGGAGTTCCAAATCTCTCCCCCAGATGTCTTTGGCGGTAGGTTTTTTGGTCTTTGCAACCAAGATTCAAGTCTAAAACAGCATCAATTGAGCCCCAACCTCTGCCACATCTATCATCTCTATGTTGGAACTAGCGTTTTATCAAATTGATACATTTGCGACCGCAACAATGCCTGAAAGGCAGCTTTGTCACAGTACAAAAATGTAATGGGGTGAAGCTTACGAAAAATCTGAGGGGGTCGTTGTTAATTGGACGGTGACTGTATTTGTCTTCAGGTAGTTCGAATACGGTAGCTCGAATAGTGAAATTTCAGTGCTAATCTAATCAAGCAGAAAACACTATTCGAAAAATATTCGACATGTGGAATATTCGCTCACCCTTAATTTCAGGATGGCACCTACGATGGATGAAGTGGGCAGCAAAAATGACGCATCAGAGATCTGTGTTTGTTACTTGGATTGATGATTGATTTGTAGGGTTTAACGTCCCAAAACCACCATATGATTATGAGAGACGCCGTAGTGGAGGGCTCCGGAAATTTTGACCACCTGGGGTTCTTTAACGTGCACCCAAATCTGAGCACACGGGCCTACAACATTTCCGCCTCCATCGTTTGTTACTTGGAGCTGTCGCATTTGCTCATCATTAAAGGTGCTTCTACGCCGTGCACCCTGTAGTCTACTAGAACTGTCATTATGCTTGTGAGCCGCCGCTGTAATGCACAGTGCCATGAATGAGGGTGAGAAGATTTCTGAGCAAGTCCACGTGCACTAACTTTATTTTTTACTTTCTGTCAGGAAAACTTTGTTGCCACCATCTTAAATTTCAGCGCTGTTCCAGGAAAGTGCTACCTCCACTTTGCTAATAATTTCGACTTGCTGAAGTGGGGGGCACTCGTTACAGATTTCAAAGTAGTCTGAACTATGTGGAACAATGTCTGTTCTGCAGGAACATTGTCAAGCGGCAGCAAGTCACCATGGTTCCCCACAACTGCTACATATCGTTGGAAAGGTATTCTTGCACACCCAAATCTCAATAGAACGAACCCGGATATAACAAATTATTGGTTATACAGAAGTACATGAAAAATCACTCTTTCATAGATACAGTGCTACAAATATGTTTATAATAAATTTTCGGATATAATGAAATATTTTTGTAGCAGGTGCGACTTTGTTATGATGAGGCTTGATGATGATATATGGTGTTTTTTGGCGCAAGGGCCATTTGATGGCCAAAGAGCGCCAGTTCATGCGACAAGGAATGTGGACAATGATTGTGATTAGTGGCTGTATAAGGGCCATAAAATTCCTCGCGGTAAGGCGGGTAAAAACATACAAGTAATAAAATCATGACCATGCCGTGAAAGGTGTGTGTGGTGTGAATCGATAACAAAAGTTGGTGATAATAAAAAACGATGGTGTATATGTATGGCATTAGCACAAGTGCCTCACTGGTTCATACCCTTGCGTGCAAGGGCCGTGAGGCAAGTGCTTTCCTGTGTAGCCACCGCAGCAAAAACCTCCCTGGAGAGGTCGAGCTACGGGATGCCCGGGTATATGATATGAAAATTGTGAATTTCTTTTAAAAACGCTAACAATGATTTATGACTAAAAAGCGGTTCCCTACCAACGAACATTGCAGGGTGTAAAGGTATATGTTGTCGGTAGGGTAATGGAAAATGCTGTTTTCTTATAGTTTCTAAGTGTTTACACTGGATTAACACGTGAAGGACGGTCAATGGTTCACCGCATCTGTCACACAATGGTGGGTCGCCACCAGACAAAAGATATGTGTGTGTCGTGTATATGTGTCCTATCCTGAGTCTCGTTAGTATAACCTCTGTATGACGCGATTTTGATACTGGCAGCCAATAACCAAGGTGTGGCTTGATAATGTGTAATTTGTTTTGTGTGTGTGTATCCCACTTGCTCTGCCAGTAGTCCCTGAGTTTTCGTTTGAGAGACGGCTTAAGATCAAGGGCCGGGATTGATGTGGGTGTAATGGCGGTGCTTTCGTGGGCGGATGCAGCAAGCTGATCCGCCATCACGTTGCCTTGAATCTCACGGTGCCCTGGCACCCAGCACACTACAACACGTTGGTTGAGTGTGTAGAGTGTGCATAAAATAGAGTAAAGTGAGACGAGGACAGGGTTTTTTTGTTTTTTAAGACTGCGCAGAGCCG